TAAGTGAGGAACTCGTATATAATACAAGTACACATGTTGCTGCAATGCAGCAGTTGAGAAACTCCGCGCAAAGAAAATGCGCTCATTACAGATACATTATAAAATCATTCCTGCGCAAAGGTCATTATCTATTCAGATTAAGTACTATTGTACATTATTCCGGAAGTTTTGTAAATCATTTTTTAATTCCGTACCCGGGTGAGATCCTTTCGTAAATGTTGCACAGGACGGAAAATAAAACATGCATTAACGGATAACATCACGCGAGCTGAGCATTTTTATAATGGATGATCCAGGGCGCCATGTATAACTTAATATAGCTGGCTGCCATTATATTTTTTCCATGTTCACGTATACACATCTTTATTGTTCAACTGAAATAGCCAATTTAGAATATCAACACACTATGTGTCCTAGATAGATACTTTATTTCCTCCAGAATTGAAAAGCATGAACATATATAGCCTACAAATTATATTACAAAAATATATGCAAGATCAGAAAAAAATCAGATACATTACATATAACATTGAACATTGGTGAAATATTTTCATTTATCCAATATCGTAATAGACAATGCATTTAAAATATCAATTGCATACAGAAACCTTAATATTAACATAATAAATAATAAAAATATTGATTAACAAATGCATGTATAAAGCCTACATATTTGACATAAATCTGCGATTAAATAGTCAATTCATATGAAGGCATCTTGCTGGATGCCCGACCCCTGCTTAGGTGTTTCCGTGGCAGTCCGCGCAAGCCTTATCTCATTCTAACTAGGACCAGGGTTCGTTTCACACACACAGGCAGTGCCCATACAAAATATAAATGAAACACATAAACTTTTGTAACTAAACTTAACTTATTAAAATTTATTAATATAGATCAATTGTTTAACTCATACAAATATGTCATCGTATGCCTAATAGTCCTATATTATTATTCCTTATAATGTAGCAGATTATCAGCTAAACAGTGTATCGGTTAAGGTTTAATGGTTACAAAATAATGTAGATACCAAAGATACTGGTAGTGTACGCGCAAGATTTGGGGTTTTTACTTATATATTTCCTATGGATTTGGGCATTGAGATCCACACTTTGAATAGAAACCTTTCTGGATAAGGCAATTCGTTCAGTCTTCACTGGCAATAGTAAATATATAAACCACTGTTAACAATAACAAACAAGTGAAAGTTCACTCTAGTTAACTGTCACAGTTTTCACGTGTTAATTCTAAATTTCGTCCTTCAAATTAGTCAACTCAATAGTAGAACTTTTCTACCAGACGACTGATATGAGATGACGAACGATATGCTAATCGCGCAGTAATTTATAGTACCTCCCTTGTTAACGTTCATCACATTAATTATTTAATAACATGAGACCGGCCAGTCGGCAAATTCAGAAATGTGACCAATATATTTAAAGTACATAGATTACATTGAACTTATAACCTCGTTATGTCAGCCATTTAAGAATATAGACAAACATTACACATGTTTATTATAGTAAATATGCATCTGAAAATCATTATAATTCATATTATATGAAAAAGGCAAAGCCTCAAAGCGAGCTCGATGTACTTTTAACGTTAAATAGTATGAAATAATCGCTCATTTTTATTTCAAATGCAGTGACGAGTGCGTGTGACGTCACGTGTATTGTGTAAAATATGGCCCCGCCCCTGTCGTTAAATGAATAACGAGTTTTGAAAACGTTGATAAAACTTTGTTTGTTTATTTTATTTCACTCTATAATTTTTCAAGCGAAATAAAGATTATTAAAGTGAAATAAATGTAAAACTTAAAACGTTTGCGACATTAATGTTTTGCACGTGCTGTTTGGCGCTACATTGTGACGTCACGTAAACAATACTTTAAACGTCTGTACAGCGTTAACGACTGAATAAAAGATATTGGTGTTCGGAATTATTTTCTTAGTTAGACCATTTTCTTTCATTCTAGATAGTTTTCACAACAAAATTCGACAAAAAATTGTTTTTATTTATCAGATTTTTCAAACAAAATGGCGCTTTCAATTTTCATTTTACATTTTACACAGCTTCCGTTATTCTGGTTCCCTGTCCAATTATGGTTCCCATAGACGTGCGCGGGTAACCAGTCTTCACATCCGTTTTCAGTCAGAATTCCTCAGTTTTTATCGTTATCTTTAAATTCGAAAAGTTGCGATGTGTCCAATTTGGTACTTCGGACGAAAGTTTTCAAAACCATCACTTAGCAGGTACTCGCGTTACCGTAAAGCTCGCTTTGCGAGCAGGCCCTTCGGGCCAGCTCGTCGAGCTCGCTATAAGATAAACGCAGTTACATAGAAAGTAATAATCAAAACAATGCGATGGTTCGTACTCAGAAATATTCGTACTCAAAGTCGGAAAATGAATAAATGTATAAAGCATTGATAAAATAGCCTGAGCATCACATTACCCCCACCTCTCAGGAATCGGTCCCCGATTAAGAAGTGTGTAAGTTAATTTTTACATATTTTTTTTTAAATATTTATTTAAAGGTACACTATTAAATACTTATTATCATTATGCTTAATTGATTACTGAAATACATGTAAATAATTAACAACACCAATTAATTAAGAGTTATGTTGTTCACTTGTATATATAATCTTTTTATAACAATTTAACAATTCAAAATAACAATTTATTTACAATTAATAGTAGGAAGTCTCTTTAAGGTTACAAGTACCAAAGCAATTATGACTGTGGAACCAGTGCAGATGTCTATAAAAGATGTAAGTATACAGCCTTTAAATAATTGTTTTGTGTCAATGATTTAAAAATATCACTTTTACTTAACATGCGAATAGACTTCCATAACATATGAAAACAATAATAATTTAACATGTCTAAAAGTAAAACCTTATAACATTGTTTCATAATAGTACATGTATATTCCACAAAGATAATAATTCAAATGTCTTTACATATTCTTAATATAAGAAATGTGTAAGTCTCATCTGTTAAAGTAAGCAATTATGTCACTTATAATGCACTAAGTGTTCATAAATTTTAATATTTAGTAACATTGCATTACAAAGTATAATGTCATATGTTATATTAATAACACTACATGTATACATGCGTATTTAACATACATGTATTTTATTGCGTCAAATTATTTTACACAAAAATTTAATGTTCATTGTATTATTTCTTAAAGTATTTCAGACACACTGAACTGTGCATGGCACAAAATCCTGTAGAATAATCACAAAATATGTATATCACGTAAGTATGTGTTTGTCTCACAATTAAAGTTAAGATAATTAATTCTCACGAAATTGATTAAAGTTTTTTTTTTAATAAAATTTATGGCAAAATGTTTACTTTGAAATATTTGTTAACACTAAAATTAGTTGGAAATATTAAACGTGAAATTTATTTGTATAAAAGTAAATTAATCTTTTAAACTCCACTGAAGATATCTGTAATACTGTTCCTTTAGTTTGTTCATCAGGCTGATATTGTGTTTATCGGTAAATTTCGTTTGTCATATGTATTTCTTTTATCTAAAAATTCCTTTTATCTTTCAATAATTATTTTCTAAATATTCCTTTTATCATCCTGTCTATATTTGACATTATAACACTTTATTTATTCTTGTTTAAACATTTTCTTTTAAACTTATCCTTTTGTCACTGCACTGTTTTTCCAGCTTTGGGAGGTTGAAATATTTCGCCTCGAGTTGTAATGCAGCCAAACTTCCTCTGTCTGATGGTAAAAGATCCCTTGAAAGGTTCATCACTCCTTGTTGACGGTATCTTAAATGATTTAAGACATATGGGAATATGTCAATGAACAATTCATCTTTATTTAGCACTACTTTGTCCATTATGCCTTTCACGGTGGTATTTAAAGTTGAAAATTTTCTTCCTCCTACATTCAGCGTAACTATTTCGATCTTTTTTGTGTTTCTTCTGTTTTCTTACTATGTCTTTCCTCCTTGTCCTTTGTGTGTTGTCTCTTTTCTTCTACTCTTCCCTTTTCTTCCTTTTCTTTCTCTGCTTCCATGTTTCTCTTTTCTTTCTCAAGTCTAAGTTCCTTCTCTTTTCTCTTTTTCTCCTCTGCTTCTTTTGTTTCTTTCTCTTTTCTTTCTTTCTCAAGTCTAAGTTCCTCCTCTTTTCTCTTTTTCTCCTCTGCTTCTTTTGTTTCTTTCTCTTTTCTTTCTTTCTCAAGTCTAAGTTCCTCCTCTTTTCTCTTTTTCTCCTCTGCTTCTTTTGTTTCCTTCTCTTTTCTCAAGTCTAAGTTCCTCCTCTTTCCTCTTTTTTCCTCTGCCTTTTTCCTTGCTCCATTCTCTTTCCTTTTCTTTTCTATTCTCTGTCTCTCCTCCCTTTCCTGCCTATGCTTTTCCTCCGTATCCTTCACTTCTTTCTCTTTTCTTTCCTTCTCAAGTCTAAGTTCCTCCTCTTTTCTCTTTTTCTCCTCTGCTTCTTTCCTTGCTTCATCTTCTTTTATTTCCCTTTCTATTCTGAGCCTCTCCTCCCTTTCTTGTCTCTTCTTTACCTCTGCTATCTCTCTCCTTTCTTTCTCTTTTCTAAATCTTTCCTGTTTCTCTTTTCTTTCATTTTCAATTCTTAGTCTTTCCTCACTTTCTTTTCTTAATTTCTCTTCATAACATGGTTCCACAATTTGAAAGTCCTCCTCCAGATCAAGTAGATCCCTAACAGCGGTTACCGTTTCATCTTCTCTCGAGCTTGTACTACTTGATCTGGATGTGTCTGAGGATTCAGAGCTACTTGAGCTAGAACTTTCCCTTCTCCTTTTCGTACATCTATTTTCTCTGCTTTGCGGCCTTCCCCTCTTTCTTTCGAATAATACTGGTCTTGTCTGTTTCCTTATCATATTATACCCTTGCCTTTTGTCTATTATCAAATCAGGAATTGTTAGTTTAAATCTTTCCATTATGTCATCAGCTTCTTTCCCTTTTTCACCTGTAGCCTGCACAAACCTAATTTAATTTTCCTTTTTGTCGTGACAAGTATTTGCTTGCGGTGTGTTTCTATGATAGACCTTGCAACAGAATCGACACTTCCATGTCACACCAGAGTGCTGTTCTAGAATATGACTGTAACATCTGCTTCGGGTTGTAAAGGAGATATCTCCACAAATCTTACATTCAAAGGGTTTCTGAAGATAGACAAAATAAGTTTCCTAAGTATAAACTTCATTATCTCTATATTTATCCATTAATACATTTCGTGAATGTACAATAAATTACTTTGTTTCAACAAGTTAATGAAAGGTAATTTCTTATCAAGTATATATATTACGTCAATGTTCAATGTATATAATAACAGTCACTTATATTAATCTTTTCAATTTATTAATAAATCCATGGTGAAAGAATCATATAAAATTATCTTTTCATTTTAAATAAAATATGAAAAACAAGATCAACAAGGAAAGGCGGCGTTCAATGAACGCAACCCCCATATGACCCAGCAACAAGAACCAATGGCAAGGAGCCCAGGCGGACCCCAAACATAAAAAGGACAGGGCAACGACACGTTAATCAATAAATGATAAATAATTTGTAACTGATTAGGAAAGACATTATCAACTGAATATGATATATCTTTATACAATGTAGCAAAAATTAGCAACAACAACAACAGAACAGTAACAATAAAACTAACGCAATACCAAACAGTCTATACTGTTGTGAATTATAGGTGTGCTATTTACACCTATTTATTTAATTAATGTATGCTTTTAGCTTATCATGATGAACAACTCTAGGTCGTTCTCTCTGACTACCCTTTATTCGATATAAAATGTTGCTAATTTTTTCAATTATTTGATATGGACCTTTCCACGGTCTTGTTAATTTTCCACTTCTACCAACTTTTCTCTGTGGGTTATAATACCAAACAGAATCACCTACTACATAAGAAGTCTGATTAGCATTTAAATCATAATTTCTTTTCATAGCATCACTTGAAATTTTTAATTTCTTTCTGGCAAAATAATGAATTTGATAAAGTTTTTCCTCTAATTTTCTTACATAATCACTGGCATACCTGTTTTCTTTTTCAGGATTGTCTACAAGAGGAGCTCCTATCAATAGGTCAATTGGCAACCTCATCTGAGTTCCAAACATCATAGAGAATGGTGTGACACCAGTAGATTGATGTACAGCAGTGTGATGTGCCATCATGCAGAAAGGTACATACTTGTCCCAATCGTCACCATTTTCAGAAACAAATGCCGTTAACATGTTTAGGACACTTTTATTAGTTCTTTCTACAAAACCAGCCCCTTGAGGTCTAAAAGGTGTATTTCTTGCCTTTTTAATGTCAAACAGTTGACAGAGTTCTTTAAAAAGATTAGACCCAAACTGTGGACCTTGGTCTGTATGTATACTATAAGGGTATTCCAAATCTTTGAAAAATATTTGATATAAGTGCATCTGCTACTACTTGAGTTTCTATATTTGGTAATGGGATTGCCTCAGCCCATTTAGAGAAATAATCAGTGACTACCATTAGATATGAATTATTTTTTTCGGTTTTCCCTAAAGGACCTACAAAGTCTACCCCAATTCTTTCCCATCTTTCTCCGGTGACAAATTGTTTCATATAAGCTTTTTGTTTCTGACGAATTGGTTTTCTGGACTCGCACACAGTGCATTTTTCTAATCCAGTCTTCAATATCTTTTCGTAAGCTATAACCAGAAAAACCTTTGTCTAACCCTAAATATTGTTTTTCTTCACACCTAAATGAGCTGATGTTGTTGAATTATGCATTTGTGTTAATACCTGTTTAATAAAGGACTTTAGGAAGAATAATCTGATATTCTAAACTGAGTTATCTATGTCACTAACCCCATTTTCTGTAAAGGATATCTTCTTTAATTATCAATGATTCCCACCTATACCAATAATACTTATATTCGGCATTATATTTAAATACCATATTCCAATTTGGTTTGTTTCCAGACAACACCCATTCGGACACTTGACCATTATTGAATCTTCTCTTTTGCAACTTGGCTAAGAGCTCTAAATTTAATTCATTAATATCAATGTCACTGTTGTCTTCAGTATTTTGTGTTTGTTTGACTTCATTATCTGATTGTTTGGTGCTTGTTGATGGTTTATTTAGGTTTGTGTGTGAGTTATCCTTATTTTTGTTCAAGCAGAGATTACTATCTTTATTGGACGGACCTGGTAAACATTCATGTGAAGTGTTACTGTCAGACTTGGCAGACCTTATCCCTATAGTTAACATTTCACTAATTTGACCTTGAGACTTGACAGGTTCTTTGCATCCTGTCCTATTAATTTCCTTTTCAGTCAGCAAAGGTTTTCCATTTTCTATTGTTGCGCCAGACATTGTTTGACTGACCACCATGCAACAATTCTTGGAAGCCTTATCTAGACAATTGATCTTACTTTTATTTAGAATAGTAACTAAATCTGCACATTTATCTCTGTCCGTACAGACATTAACACAAAAGGTTTTACATATATCTCTACTTGTCATATTTAGTAAAATAAGACAAAAAGCAACTGTAATAGAAATTGGAATTTGGGTAACTACCACTATTATTAAGATAAGACTTAATATTAATTTTTCAGTTGTGACTCTACATAGACTAAAGTTAGTATTTTCTGAGCTAACACTATCGCTCGGTTTGTTTTCAAAGACAGGACAAACAGAAACAATTTCTGTACATAACACCTTTTCGTTATTTTGATCATGTTTGTCTTCAACACGTTCACAATATGAACAGCTTTTGTTATAACAGGGACGACGACTTAATGCGTCAGCATTACCATGTATTTTACCTGGTCTATGCTTTATTTCATAGTCATAATTTTCTAAAATGCTTACCCAACGACATATCTTAGACTCGCATGATCTGTACGAATAGTGAATTTTCTTCCGTATAAATAATGATGGAAATGTTTTACCGCAGTAACGACAGTCAGTATTTCTCTGCGTGTCACGCAGTAGTTACGCTCAGATCTTGAAAAACACTTAGAAAAATAGGCGATTACTTTTTCTTCTCCGTCTTGTACTTTATGGAGCACCGCATCCATACTTGAATTACTCGCGTCTGTATCAAGTATGAAATAATCATTTTGGGTAGGGAAAGCTAGTATAGGACTTGTTATCAAAGCTGTTTTCAAAGCTTGAAATGCATTTTCACATTCAATTGTCCACTCAAATTTCGTATCTTTTTCTGCTAAAGTATGTTAGGGTTTTGCTTTGTTTGAAAATTGATAAATGTACTTTCGGTAAAATGAAACAAGTCCCAGGAAACTCTTAACATCTCTAACATTTCTTGGTGTGGGCCATTCTTTAACACTTTTAACTTTTTCTGGACATGTGGAGGTCCCTTCTTCACTTACAACATAACCCAAAAATGTTACCTGCTTTTGAAAGAAATGGCATTTTCTAGGATTTAATTTTAAGTTTGCTTGCTTTAATCGCTGTAAAGCTTCTTCAAGGTGTTTTAAAGTATCATCAAAGGTCTTTGCAAATAAAATTATATCATCTAGATACAAAACTAAAGTTTTCCAGATAAGACCCTTAAAAACCATTTGTACTAGTCGTGTGAATACACTTGGACTATTAGACAATCCAAATGCTAACTTTTTAAACTGCCATTGTTGACCACCTTGAAGACTAAAAGCTGTTTTCGGTCTACTCTCTTTATCAATGTCTACTTGCCAAAAACCTTTTGACAAGTCACAAGTACAAAACCATTTAGAACCTGATAAAGCGTCAAGATTATCTTCAATTCTTGGCAAGGGTTGGTATTCTTTTTTTGTAACTTCATTTAATTTGCGAAAGTCACAACAGAAACGAACAGACTTGTCAGGTTTTGTAACCATAATGATAGGTGATAACCAGGGTGAGCAAGCTGGTTCGATTATCCCGTCTTCTACCATTTTCTTTATTTCATTTTCAGCCACCTCTCTTTTTGCTAGAGGTATTCTATAAGGATATGTTTTGATAGGGGTACTGTTTCTAGTATCTATATGGTGTTCCACTAACTTTGTGTGACCTATATCTCTATCATTTTTAGAGAATACATCTTGATACCTTACTAAAATTTGCTTAAGTTTAGCTTTTTCCTCAGTATTTAAATGAATGGAGGACCTTTCAAAAAGATCAGTTAAATGTGCTGGTATTTCAGTATTGTTTGGACTTGCAACCTTCTCTTTGCTACTGCATACACTGAATTTATTAGGTGAACTGTTCTCATTCACTGTTACAGACTCTAAATTACCCACAACTGTATTTTTATAAATTTTGCAAGGTTTTGAATTGAAATTAGCAATTCTAATAGGAAAATTACCTGTATTAGGATCTACTAAAGTTTTGGCTACCAGTAAACCAGATTTTTCTACAAAATTTGTGTTGGCCTCTATTATAGCTGAACTATTCTTGTCTACTGCATCTAAAGGTTTACCCTCTAAAATTATTTCAGTTTCTGGTGGTATTTCTATTGTCTCAGCTACAACTATTCTACAACATGTGTTTTCATTATCCTTTTGGTGCATATAACATGGTATCTTATCTCCTTTTAACGTTATGTACTTTTTACTGAATATTATGTCACACTGATTTTGTAATAGAAAATCTACACCAAGTATACCACATTGCTGTATTTCAGGATATATTACAGGTCTTTCTGAATATGGAAGCCTTTCTATTGTCTCTTTATCTAAAATGCTTACATTAGCTCCACTATCTACTAACATTGACACATGGTTACCATATAAATATGCTGACAAAAAGTAACCATGATCTGAGCCTAGATTATTTAGTGCAATCTGGGACCTGCATTTCTTGTCAAGTTGTGGCCCCTCCAACTTGGCATTTGTTCGTTTCCCTGATTAAAATTTTGATTTCTTCTATTATCATACCTTGAACTTGGTTGGTTTTCATTAGATCTAGCATTATACTTAATATTCCTATTTTCATGATAGTTTCTAAAGTGATTGAAATTTTGTCTTGTTTTCTGTCTATTAACTTCAGGTCTAAATTCCTGAGCTTGATATGGTCTGTTAAATGTAGGTTTCGACATGTTAGGTTTAGGTAGGTAAGGGTTGCTATGAGAACTATTTTGTGAGGATATAGAATTTGTAGGGTTTTCAGTTCTTTCCTGTACACTTCCTATCAGTCTACTTCTCTGTCTGTCAGCAAGCCTATGAGCTTCCATCCTGACAGCTATTTGTTCAGCCTCAGATATGCTTTTTGGGCTAACTTCTCTTAATCTTAGTCTAATATCAGACTCATTCAGGGCATCTATAAAACTATCTAAAGCTAAAGCATCAACAACATCTGGGTTTGCGGTCGGATATGCTTTTCTTGTCAATTTACGTATTGACTGGGCCAGTTCAGGAATGGACTCCCCCTTTAACCTTATTCTAGTTTTTAGTTGAGTACGAAATACTTCGGCCTTATTTTCAGAACCAAATCTGCTCTTTAGTTTTAAAATTAAACTGGAGAAATCTCTTCTTTCAGTTTCAGACAATTCTGTTAACAGAGATCTAGCAGTACCTGACAATGTACTTGCCAAATATAAGGACTTTTCGACATATGTCCACCCATTAATTTCAGAAGTTATTTCAAACTGTGTGAGAAAATCATGTAGATCTTCTTCTCGACTAAAATTCTGTGGTTTCATTTTCAAACCAATTCTCTTGTCATGAGATATCACATTATCAGCAGATCTTACATTGAAATTTTGGCCTATATGATTATTACTAATATTACTTGGTCTTGATGTTGTTATATGAACAGGAATTTGAGGATTAACATTATGCTCAAAATGTACATTGTTTCTATAATGATTGAAACTGACCTCATTATCAGGATGTTCTAATTCAGACAACCGTGATCTAACAGATGAAATATCATTTTCTACAGTACCTAGTTTATTTTGTATTTTACTAGTTACATTTTCTAAAGTAAGGCTTAAAGTGCCTATTTCGTTTACTAGATTTGAAATTTGACTTCCCATAAAATTCTCAAGACTATCAATTCTAGAACTAGAATCATATTGTTTTTCATTAAATACATTTTCAGAAGAGCTTTGATCGCCTTCACTATAATTACTGTTATCCATTGATTCAGTGTTTTTCGGATTCACAACAGAATAGCTTTGATCAATATCTGATTCAGCAATTTTGTAACTAAGTAAATTATATAATTTTATCAAGGAAACAATTTAACTAACAACCTGGAAATATTTATATATACTATATTTCTTATTTGTTACTTATCATAAAGACTTATAATGTAAGTTCATAATTCTGTACTAATTTACTATTATAATTTTGTCACTGTAACTTCTCACAAGTGTCAACTTATTATATCATTATCTTTTCCAGGTTGTCAACAGAACATCAACAGATAACCTTCCAGTGTAGAGAAAACAGAACAGAAAACTGTCAACATAACAACATATCTTATCCCAAATATTTTAACTTTTCTTTAAATTGTCTAGACAATTGTCAGGAGTATTCAACTTTTCAAATGGAAACTTGTATTTTTTTTTCACTTATGTGTAATACTAACCAAATTCCAAAAAAAGTCCTTGTTCTTATCTATATTTTCATAATCAATTTATCTAAAACATTTGTGATAACCATGATCTTGTTAACTAGCTAGACCTTGTAAATCCCACTTCTGACACCAGATGTGGTGCCCAGACCCCTGCTTAGTGTTTCCAGGGCAGTCTGCAGCCTCACATTAACCCAGGGTTCGTTTTACACGGCCCAAGTACCAAATTATAAATGAACACATAAGACATTTTGTAACTTAAAACTCTTTTAATTAAAATATTATATAGATCAATTTGTTTAAATATAAATAGTCATGGATGCCTAAAGTCTATTATTATTATTCCTATAGATGACCAGATTTCAGTAAACAAGTACCAGGTTTGGTACAATATAATGAGATACCAGATCTGGTAGTTACCAGATTGGGTACTATACCGGATTGGGCATTATACCAGATTTGGAATGAACCATTTCTGGAACAATCCGTTCTCTACACTGGCAAAGTAATTATAACTGTTAACAATAACAACAAGTGAATTTTACCTGTAACTGGTCCATTTTCGGTAATTTAATCGTCTACAATTATCAACTCAATAGAGAACTTTTCTACCAGACGACCTGATATGAGATGACAACGATATGCTAACGCGCAGTATTTATAGTACCCTGTGACGTCATCACATTAATATTCAAAACGGTATGACTAGATATCGGAAAGGGCCCCTTTCCGCGAAAAGGACTTGACATGATCGGAAAGGGCCGATTATATGCTTATTAATGGCATTTTTTCAAAAAAGATTTCACTAAATATAATGACAATTAATTAAAACAAACACCTTTGGAATTTAACTGATATTATTCCCCCATATTTTTTTAGATTTTAAAAGATAATCTATCAGTCCTCGAAACACACTGATCGGAAAGAGCTTAGGATTTATCGGAATTTTCTTACATAGATCTATTAGAACTATTTCAGAAAATATTATCAATATTAAAATATGTCAAAGAAATAAACAAATATATTTATATTTTTGTCCTATATTTGTTAAGTTATTTAGCACAATAAGCCAGTCATCCCTGCGTTGCTCGGAAAGGAGTTGGCATAATCGGAAAGGAACTATTGCTTTCATATCAATGGAGATATTTGAAACAATTCAACGAATGTTATGAATGTTATTTGCAATTACTTATATACACTCATATAAATATATAGTTATGCTTCATATTTGGTAAGATATTAAGACAGAATATGTTCAATATTCCATATTCCATTCCCCTGTCTGATCGGAAAGGACTTTATTATGTAAAAATTATGTTCTTATTTAGGGTTTCTATAAAGTATATTAAACGTATGAAGAAATGACTAGATTTGATCAAATGAATAAATTTCTTAAATGTGAGCGTAACATTTATTGATCATCTACACATTTGTGTCGTTATAGATATAATACGGGTGGTTTGGTGCAATTTAAATACATGTATATTACCATTTGAGCCCCTGAGGGATAACTAGATTTGGGATTGTTAAATTAATTCCCGTATTACATATATTTGGAATTGAAATTATTTCCCAAGTACATATATTTGGATTTGAAATCATTGCAATTAATATACATGTATGAAACAGAAACATTCAAATATAACTTGGAATACAGCTTGATTTTAACTTCAAGATTTAGACATCATCAGTGTATTTATATTTAATTTATTTTTTTTCACTTGCCTTACAGATAAAATGTGTATTATTGTAATAACTTGGATTTCCCCCCAAATTACTTTTTTCTACTGCGACCTAATTTACAAAATTAATTGGCATCAATACAGATGTGTAATTATCTGATTATGACCTTAGATATTTTCAATGATAAGATTAACGCGCTTGTTAACATAACAAGATAAGATAGATAAAATTGGTATATCACCCTGATCATTATTGACGTGCGCGTGCACACACGCCAGATTCTAACAAGTGAAAGTCTCAAGCTATGCAGTGACTATGGCGGAGCAGTTTTATAACAGCAGCCAAGCAGGGATTCAAGTTCAAATTAATTTGGAGTGTGTGTCTGTTTGCGTTTATTACATGTTTTACTACATTTATATCCATTTTCGGTAGAAATAAAACAAAATTTATTAAGCAAGATTACATGAAAATAAACGTATGTCAGCATATAAGAATAGATAATAAACATTTATATATACAAATGGCAACTGAAAATCATAATAATATAAGATAAACGCAGTTACATAGAAAGTAATCATCAAAACAATGCGATGGTTCGTACTCAGAAATATTCGTACTCAAAGTCGGAAAATGAATAAATGTATAAAGCATTGATAAAATAGCCTGAGCATCACAATATCAATGGCAATATATCACTTGTGACGATAACTGTAAAACTTAAACTTCACATTCTATGTTTGGCGTGGTTTAGGCTTTGTAAAGTGCAACTTAACGATTCGTCCTATTGTTGTACAGTAAGTCTGCTGAGAACCAGACTGTTATCGTTTTGGAATTAGTGATGTTGGCATAAATTGGCATTGAGTTAGTTAAAATAATTGAACGAGTTGACTGGAATAAGATTGCACGAGCCTCTGGCAAGCATAATAATAATTTATTCAATTAATTCTATAAATTTCAATAATGACCATACACGAATATAATATTCTCTTTATCACATACCCAAGATAAAGGATGTTTGAAGTGAAAATGTAACATATTTCATTGACGCGCCTATAGTGTAACGTGTTTGCGATAATTATGTTTGACGTCACTTCAATAATTTTAAGTGAGGAACTCGTATATAATACAAGTACACATGTTGAGAAACTCCGCGCAAAAAAATATAAAAATCGATATGTAAATGGGCCAAAACAAAAACTTTAATGGACTTTACTTTTTAAAATGTCATTTGCATGTTTCGCGGCAAAAAATGATGTAAATCATTAAAGGGCGTCCAAGCAACCAATGCAGCAAATGACGATGAACTATAAGACATCTAATGACAAGATGTACTTATAAAGTTTCCAATGGTTCATTGGATTTTACCAGAATTGTATATCATAGATAAATGGCTGACTTGGAGGACAAAATACATTGTTCATCATGAATTTTGGTAGGTTTGCTAGAGATTAGAATAGTATATGTACTTTCTTTGGAACATACAAAACAGTATTCAAAATGAACTAAGTTTTTTTTTTATTATTATTATAATATATACAAATAGTAACAATAGGGACTAATATAGTAATACAATGTATTACATTCACATTTTCAAGTCAATTTAAAGTAATGATTTCTATTATTGCCTGGGATTTAAGATAAGTAGATATACTTCAAGTCCCAGATAAATACTGAAAGTATAACACACACTGGAATGAAAAATGGGATGAATTTTAAAAGACCAAATTTATAAATTTTTGTGTTATACACGTATTATGGTGATACATTATTTATCAATAAAATTGAAGACTGTTACCTGAATTTTAGACAGGTACGAGGAAATTCATTAACATCATGTTCGTTGGATTCAAATATATTAAAGCTACTTGACATTGGTGATCAATAAAGTGTTATTGTTAATTGATTTATGGGAGATCAATCTACTATTTTGTTGATTTGCTTCAAAACCCTGTGTTTACATCCCTACAGATACACCCATAACATCTCATGTTCAAACTGCAGACGAAAGTTTCTGTTGTTAAAATGTCTCAGTATTCGGCAAGTCAACAGTCCACTCAAACCACCATAAAACCGATTGCCTAACGAAATAGAAAAAACATATTTCGAGAAATCAGGGTCAATTTAAATATTCACGAAATTAAATTTCAAAAGTGCAATCAGGGCCATAAAAAGATAGGAGCTATATACCGGAAAATTCCTACGGAAAAGACAATTTCAAAATAAAAATACTATGATATAACAATTCGTGAAAAATAACCTGATTTATTCGTAAAGAGTGCATTTTTTGTTGAATATGTTTGCATTTCATTTCCTGCAAAATTCTCCAGTTTGTTATTTATTGTCCTTTAGACTAAAATTACTTCTATAAATAGATTCTCGGTCTTTCACAATGTTAAGGTCATCTAGCTATTTAAAGCTTTTGAAATCATGTACAGCACTAATATACATATCACTATAAAACAATAAGCAATTTCATGTAGAAGAAATAATTAAATCACAGAGTTTAAATTCATTTTTGTTTTGTCTTTTGTTCCCGTTCTTATTCATCACGGATTTATATTCCGTGTATTCATTAATTAATAATCACCGAAGGGGAAACCAATATATGACTGTACATAATAGAAATCGAAAGGAGTTCTAGTTTTTAAGGCATTTTTCGCATTGAAATGATTTTCTAATTTTTCACCTCTACACACGTGCGTATAAATTTGGCGTATAGGCAGCTACGCAACTGTAAACATTGCCCATAGTTTGACCAAACAATATAATTTCCTGATAACTAATCTAGCATTAAGTGCATCATTATAAATTTGGCGACAAGTAAAGGCGGAGCCGTACTTAAACAGAGGCGGAGCAAATAAAGTGAGTGACACTCTCTCGGTCGTTACCTCTCTCAACCGTTAAGTTTTAGAACGATCGCCGAAAACGAAAGTGCAAAGGTAAACGTCGAGTTCGGCTTAGGTAATGTTTTAACTTATTTCTCCACTGTTACTTAACCGATTTTTCCAAACTTAACCACTTTGTAAAGCTAAATATTTCTTGTTTTAAAGTAGCATTAGCTTATTTTCTGCAATTGATTATTTCTTTGGTAAATTGACGATATATATGACGTATGTATTTCAGAATTTTGCGAACGATGATGATATTTACAAATAAACTAAGCCCAAAACGCATTTGGTTGTATCAAATCCCGTATTTGATATTAAATATAGTCATTCTTCTATGTATGTAGAGTGATCATCCATGATTTCAGTCGACTTATTGCAAGATTTTTGAAAAACGACCTTTTACTTTCAATTTAGATGTTTACTGCGGGGGTATGACTTAATACCGGATATGACTATAAATACCGGATATGACTTATATTTTACCAAGTAACTATTTTTTAGTAATTTTTCTTGGTACGATGTTTTATAATAATAAAATGATTTTACATGCAAAATATAGTTAAATTTGGTCCATAAATAAAAAAGTTATAACTTATATTCGAATTACCATCTATAAAAGTCATATCCGTAGCGGACAGAATATACCGAATATGACTTATATTATATTAATTAATTATTGTTTTTCTACTTTTCATGATTCGAATTACGTTCTATAAAAGTCATATCCGTAGCGGACAGAAGATACCGAATATGACTTATATTTTATAAATTGATTATTTTTTATTGATGTTTCTTGATACGATGTTTTATAATAATAAAATGACATTGTAATGCAAAAAATCGTTAAGTTTGGTCCATAAATAAAAAAGGAATAGGTTATATTTGTTGCGTTTTTTTTATAAAGATCATATCCGTGAAGACCAGAAGATACCGAATATGACTAATATTTTATAAAGTAATTGTTTTTGTTTTTTTGTCTGGATGTGATAACTAATTACAATGAAATGAAATATCATGCAAAAAAATCGTTAAATTTGGTCCATGAATAAAAACGTTGTAAATTATATTCCTTGCGTTTTCTATAAAAGTTATATCCGTGAAGGACGGAAGATGCCGAATATAACTTATATTTGATAAAGTTTCTGATTTTTGTTGGTTTTTCTTGATATAATAATTTAAAATAATAATATGTAATTACATGAAAGAAATCGTAAATTTTGGTCCATAAATAAAAAAGTTTTAAGTTAAATTTGTTGCGTCTTCTATAAAAGTCATATCCGTGAAGGACGGAAGATACAGAATATGACTTATAGTTTATAAAGTTTCTGTTTTGTTTTCTTAATACGATATTTTATAAAAATAACATGTTATTACATAAACAAATAGAAAAAATTGCTTCATAAATAAATAAGTTATAAGTTATTCTCGTTTACGCTTATGCAGGCAATAAAGGATATATAGTAAGGCGCAGACTATAGATATAGAGTGTTTTCACAAAACCCAGGCAAAGTAGAACAAAAAGGTGTAAATTAGACACCTTCATTTTCACCTTATATTCTCTGCGTTTCTTGCAAGTACCATATACTCTACAGTATATTGTCTGCATGTTACTATATGTTCTATACAGTTGATAAATGAAAGGAAGAGTATATATCTATATTATCTGCGTTTCTTGCAAGTACTATATACTAAATATCATCTGCATTCATTTATATCATACCATTCTTCATAATTAAAATACTTAGCATTACTTTCGTGTATTTTCAGGCTACATTTACAATTGACATGCTGTTTTCCGAAGTGCAATAAATATGGCTACATCAGTAACAAAAGGTTTAAAAACATTTTAAATGACTAAAAAAGACTAAAATTTAATAACTTTGACTTATCTTTTTCAACTTAACTATATGAATTATATGGAGATCTGTCTTACGTTCATGCTGTCTTATCAGATTTCAGATTAAAAGTTTTGTGACTGCAGTGAATTCTTTTACTATAACATTTTCATTTCTTAAGGTATCTAAATACAAACTTTCAAACTAGAAATATATGTTCCTAATGATTACCCACATAATATTTGACAAAATTCATATCTCGGTAGCACACTTTGTTTCATAATTTTCCTTTTTTGAACTTAGAATTTATGTTAAAAGACGTTATTTTTACTATTAAACTTCTTCATTTCATGAAGCGTATTCTTTAAACTTTAAATATTTGTTTCTTATTATCACCTACATAATATATGACAAGATTCATAACAATAGCACGAATGTGTCCAGAATTATCCCCCAACCCCTATTCTTTGCTTTTTCTTCTTTATTTTTCAAAGGATTACTTTAAACTTTATTTTTTAAGTTTTATATCAACTTTGATATCATAATAATAAAAATGGGTCAATGACAGAAAAGGCCGGGTTGCATTTGAAGACCAAAGATCATGAGGCTGTGATGTTATGAAAAACATTGACCATTGACCATTCATGTTGAAAATTTAACTAAGTTGGTAAACAGGAAGTGGATGAGCTACACACCTGAAATCGAATAAAACCGTATGGGACCATGTGTAAATGCTATATGCCAAATATCAAGAGGCTGTGATAAGTAGTTGCAGAGAAAACATTTACGAAAATTTTCTACCATTGACCATTTATGTCGAAAATTTAACTAAGTAAGTAAATAGAACGTGGATGAGCTACACACCTGAAATCGAATCCCACGGTATAGGACCATGTGTCAATGCTGTATGCCAAATATCAAGAGGCTGTGATATGTAGTTGCTGAGAAAACTGTTACGAAAATGTCCTACCATTCACCATTAATGTCGAAAATTTAACTAAGTGGGTAAACAGGAAGTGGATGAGCTACACACCTGAAATCGAATCCCACCGCATGGGACCATGTGTCAATGCTGTATGCCAAATATCAAGAGGCTGTGATATGTAGTTGCTGAGAAAACTGTTACGAAAATATTTTCCCCGCCCGCCCGCCGCCCGACATTCACCATACTATAACCCGGATTTGCACCAGTGCAACCCGGCCAATAAAGGTTCATAATTCTAGCGTAAATATTTTCCGAAGTATCGTCCTGTTAAACTTCAGGAATTTAATAAAGACTAAAAATGTATGTTTATCATCACGTCAGCTCCTGTTTAATCCGAGTACATAAACAGAAGTTTCTTCATATTTAATTATAGTGTGGAACAGTCTATCTTAATACCATAAAGGTGAATTAAATGTTGCACATTCTATTGATACAGCGTTTGACTGATTATTGTTAAAGTAGGTAATAAATGTCGCAATAGCTTAATCGGTAGAGCCCTAAGTTCAGAAGAAACCTAATGAATGGCGGTAGGGTTACAGTCTTTAAAACAAAAAATTGTGTGTGACTGTGTTTCTTTTGTTTCGTTTGCCTCCTTTATGTACGAAACGATAAAGCGTGTTTTATTTGATTGATATATTTATGTTACTCTTTAAACGGAGTATCTTCATCTCATTTATTCCACTTTCTTGCAAATCAAGCAGGCGTTTCCGTTAATGTTACCCATGTTGGAAATTTCATCTGGTATAGGGGGTGCTAGATGAATCGCCTGCTGTGCAATGGCACGCTTCGGATGACGTAATTTGACCGTTATGAATGAATGTAATCTAATACGCTATTGAAAGAAAAAAGTAACGGCTGTTAATGACATAGATTTCAATGGACAATTGTTTCATTAAGGTTAAGAGTTCAAAATATAATGGAATATGGTGATATATGCCAGGCAAAATTGATGTTCGGATTAGAATTTATGTCCCCCAGGAACCCAAATGGGCGGGTCCCCAGGGGATGGATATTCCGATCCAAACTGCAACATATGACAATATGATTATCAATCTCTTTTTCCATTTCTTATTATGTATGAGCCGCGTCACGACAAAACAAGCATAGTGCGTTTGCGACCAGCATGAATTCAAACCAGCCTCGCATACGCGCAGTCTGATCAGGATCCTTGCTGTTTGCATATCAACCCTTTTACAAGTACTGAAACTGATAGCGAACAGATGTTCAGGGTGAGCTATTAGTATCAAAGGGGGATATGCTCCAGCGTCCGGCGTCATGCGCCAACAATCGTCTTCTCTGATACCGCTGGGCAGATTTAATTCAAATTTGGTCTGTAGCACCTTATGACAGTCCCACTAGAATTGCTCATATTATTTCAATTGGCCCCTTTGAAGGGTCAACAGTGCTAGAAAAACCTTTATACCCCTTCTCCTGAACTTATTGATGTATGATCACCAATCTTTGTCTGTAGCATTCTTGGGTAGTCATTTATCAAATTTTCTCACAGTAATTTAATTGGCCCCTTTTAGGGGCCTCTAATGTTAAATAGAAGATAAATCTGTCAACATCAGCATTTACTGAACTAAGTGATGGATGATCATCAAGCTTTGTAGCATTCTCATGTTGTCTTTTATCGAATTTGCCTATATTTATTTGATTGTCCCCTTTAAGGAGCCACTTAAGCAAGAAATAGGAAAACTTTTAAATATCTTATACTGAACTAATTGATGCATGAACACAAAATTTTGTCTGTAGTATTATTAGGTAGTCTTTTATCAAATTTGCTCATATTAATTTGATTGGTAATTTTTGATGCCAAATAGAATTTGATATCAGCTCAAGTTGATATTTTTGATATCACGTGACCTACTTTCTTGCTTTTTTATACACAGACATGAAATTTCGAACAAGGGTGTAATACTTCATGCTGAATTGATCTTTGATATAATCTTACCTTTTTTTTTGATATTGACCTACTTTCTTGTTTATTGACATACAGACTTAAAATTTGGACTAGGGATGTAATCTTTGATGCTGAATTGAATTGTGATATCAGCTTACCTACTATTGATATTATTGACACCATTTGACTTTCTTTCTTGTTTTTTGACATACAGATTTTAAATTTGGACATGGGATGTAATTTTGATATCAAATTGAATTTGATATCAGCTTACCTACCTTATGCTGGTATTTTTGATATTGCATGACATACTTTCTTGCTGTTTCACACACAGACATGGAATTGGAATCAAGGATATGATTTCTGATGCCGAATTTAATTTTTGATATTTTCTGACCTTCTTTTGATATTTTTTGATATCATTTGACCTACTTTCTTATTTTGACATACATACTTAAACTTTTGACTAGGGTATAATAAATGTGATGCCGAATTGAATTTTGATATCAGATTACCTTCTGATATTTTTGATATTGCATGATCTTCTTTCTTGCATTTTGATGTACAGTCATGAAATTTAGACCAACGGTGTAATTCCTCATACTGAATTGAATATCAATATCAGAAGACTTACATTTGACATTTTTTATATCGTTTGACCTACTTTTTTGGTTTTGACATACAGACTTGAAATTTGGAGCAGTTACGTAATTTCTGATGCTGAATTGAGTTTTGATATCAGCTGGCATACTTTTGATATTGTTTGCGCTATTTTCATTTATTTCTTGACGTACTGTTATGTGACCATATAGAATGTATAAAAATAAAAACTTTAAAAAAATTGTTGTTCAAAACTGTAACTTTCAAACGTCTACACCTAACATATTTTGCATGTGACATCAATGTTTTTTATTAACAAAAGTTATAAAAGATTAACCCTGTTATAGTGGCCATTTATTCTACATTTATTCTAGATAGTCTTATAGGCTCACACTTGAAGGATAGATATTTTTAAGAAAGCCTTTCCAAAATTTTCAGACAATATATTTCATTTTATATTGTGAATAATGAAATGATGGGTCAGATAAGTGATCTAGGGCCATCTTGGCCCTCTTCTTTATTTTATAGAAATTTATATAAAAAAACACACAAAACAGTGTTGTGAAACTATATAAATAAAGGGCGAAGTTGAATTTGACCTGGACTTGCCTTTTGGCAAGTTCATTTGAAAAATTAGTTCTAAAACTGAAAAACAGTTGTGTAAGCGATTCAGGCCCTCTTGTTTACTTGTCCTTTTGGAAACGGCCAGAAATCTTACACCTTTTTTCGCTTAAAAATGACTTTATCCGATTTCAAGTTTATTTGTTAAAAATTACTTCAAATCTTTTTGTCTAACAAAAATCAACAATTTGTTTAACTTCCAAGGATAAAAGTATTTTTCAAATGGCTATCTGTAAAAACCAGTTTGATCGCATGACAAAAATAGGTTTCTCAGGAAATCTGAATTTCAAAGAAAGCATACACAGTGGTCATAAAGATCTACAAAGATTGAAAAATTAGTTGTAAAACTGAAAAACAGTTGTGTAAACGATTCAGGCCCTCTTGTTTACTTGTCCTTTTGGAAACGGCCAGAAATCTTACACCTTTTTTCGCTTTTATAAACAATTTTATAGCAGTATTCCGGCCCATTTACATTTTGACTATAAATTTAAGCAATGGTTACAGATGATTTTAAAAGAAATATGATTTTCCGACATCTGAGTCATATGCATCTTTGGAAATTACTTATGGACACGGAATAGAGCTTTAATTATTATTCATGTGCATTTGAACTGGAGCTTATTTTTAAATATAGCAATTTCTCCAAATCTGATTAAAATCAGCTCCTCAATAACGCTATGCATTAGGATCTGGTATCCACCAATAGATAGTCACCTCCTTGTGGTCTTTCAAATAACCAATCATTTGCGAGTTATCAATATTTTGAAAGCGGTGTGGTTTAATTTTAACTCTTGGAAAAATAATTCTGAGTAGGTAATTTACACGATTTCGAATCAAACATGGCGTTTTCCATATAGCCGACAGGTAAACTGGCAAAACAATCTTGCCCACTTAAAAATGACTTTATCCGATTTCAAGTTTATTTGTTAAAAATTACTTCAAATCTTTTTGTCTAACAAAAATCAACAATTTGTTTAACTTCCAAGGATAAAAGTATTTTTCAAATGGCTATCTGTAAAAACAAGTTTGATCGCATGACAAAAATAGGTTTCTCAGGAAATCTGAATTTCAAAGAAAGCATACACAGTGGTCATAAAGATCTACATAGAAGAAATAAGTAGTCAGATTGCATGTTCTCCATGGTAACTTTAAACAACAGGCAAATCTTCAATATATACAAATTGCTGTACTATTTTAATTGCAATTAACGGTACTGTATTGTATGAAAATCAGATTAACAGCTTGAAAACTGCTAAGTAACTAGTACGGTTAATTTTTAGCTAGACTTTAGCATGTTATTCTTCTGGCTAATATAATTTTTGGCCGGAATGTACGTGTGCAAACCCGGGTTAGAGTATGGTGAATGTCCAGCGGCAGCGTGCGGATGGACGGGGAAAAAGTTTTCGTAACATGTTCAGCAACCACTAATCAGATCCTCATGAAATTAAGTATACAGCATTTACTTGTAGTCCCAAACCGTGGGTTTCAATTTTAGGTATGTTGCTCATCCACTTCCTGTTTACTGACTTAAACAGGAAGTTAAATTTTCAACATTAATGGTCAGTGGTAGGAAATTTTTGTAACATTTTTCTCAGCAACTACTTGTCACAGTCTTTTGATATTTGGTATACAGCAGTAACACATCCCGGTCGGAAAAATCCATCTTATCCCAGGATTTTTATGGAAAATTAGAGGCTTGAGTATTGGAATGCATTTCTAAAAAAAAGTAAATCCCTTGATACATATAATCAAACGCTCAAACGCTCCGCTTCCTATATTGAATAAGTTAAGTGGACAATTCATTTCCGGAGCTTCTATTTTTAGTTTCGGGATAATGTTTTCAACAAAGCTTAACAATGCTATGGTGCATCTTCCCAAGATAAAATTACTGAAACACTTGATTGAAACAACACAGAATTTTTTCCCAACAAAAAATAAAAGCTGATGTGCGCTTTAATTGATATCAGTATCAGAAATGAGGAATGATGAAATTTGTATCAATGTACTTTTATATTTTTCAGATGAGACAATTTGTAAAAGAGTTCTAAATAGAAGTGTCAGGAGACTTATAGAAGATCTTGATGTTATTACAGTATTGGATTACTCCATAGAGAAAGAATTTCTTTCGGCAGTAGAATGTCGTGATATCAAGGTATGTTTTTATGTGTGTCATTGGCACACCTCATTTGTTCATTGGCCATTGTCTGTCATCAAAAATATATTCAAATGAAAATACTCTTCCAAATTTGATTACTTTTGGCAGAAATGTTCCTGGCCTAAAGTTTAACCCAGTTCAAAGGATTCTGGTACATTAAGCAAAATATAATTAAAAATACATTTTTTTAATTCTTCTATTACAAAAGTGTAATGCCCACAACTTATATATTGCATTGAAAATGGTCTAGTTGGTCTCTTCAAACTTTCTTTTTCAAAAAAAGCCTGGAGTCAAATTTTTAACTTGTGTTTTCCCCTGAATGTATATAGCAAAAACTTCTCCTTTTTTAATCAATACAGGCTTAAGTTTAGATGTTAGGTATGCAAAATTGTTAGTGAACCTCTACCCAGTTTATTCAAATTATAGCCTACGGGTCAAAATTGACTTCTGGATTTTAGTTCTGCCTCTACAGATTAGTGATTCAGTAAGTTTGGTTTGCTGCACTAATTTGCCGCCAGAGCTAAAAATAGAAAAAACTGCTGTCGGGATTTCAATGAAACTTCACAGGAGTGATCGGTACCATCCCTAGTTATTGCCCACACCTTCTGCTTATACTACAAAAAATGGCTACAAGAGCTATAAATAGAAACATCTTGTCCGGCTTTCACAGTTCAAATTGCTGGTGGAATTTCAATGAAACTTCACAAAAGTGATCATTACCATCCTTGTAAGCATTTCACCAGCATGTTTTGCTCAGATGCCCAAAATGCCACCAGTGCTATAAATAGAAAAGTGTTATCCGTCTTTGCTGCCGGATTTCAATAAATAGGAGTGATCAATACTATCCGTAGTTGTGCATATCTCCCACACTTCCTGCTTGGCTGCTTTCACAGGTTTAACTGTGTTGTAACTGCATGTGGGAGTCAATGAAATTACATAGGAGTGATCAGTATCATCCCTATATGTGCATATGGCCGGCACGTTCTGCTTCACTGCACAAAATGACTGCCGGAGCAATAAATAGAAAAATCTTGTCCAGCTCTACAGGTCATCCACAGGTCTAACTGCTTGCATGATTTAAATGATCACTTCAATACCAAGTTGTGCATATCCCCGGAACCTTTTGGCTCCGCTGCACAAAATGGCCGCCAGAACTAAAAGAAAAAAATCTTGTCCGGCTTTAACAAGTCAAACTGCTGGAATTTCAATGAAACTTAACTTGAATGACCAGTCCCACCCCTAGTTGTGCATATAGCGGGCATGTTTGGCTTTGCTGCAAAAAATGGCACTCGGAACTAAAAATAGAAAAATGTATCCGGCTTTCAAAGGTCAAACTGTTGACAGGAGTTAGCCCAAAACTCACAGGTGTGATCAGTACCATACCTTGTTTTGGGAGACTATGTTTTTGAGACAAAAACCCCTTCTTGTTTTTCTAGTGGAAGTTATTCATACCCGGACAAACAGCAAGTGTGGATATACCAACATATTTAAATTGGAAGAAAAGGAAAACTAAAAATATTTTCCTTTAATTTTATTTAAAAAAATGTTTAAAACCACTTACCTCTAGATAGTAAATGAAAAAAAAAACATGTAAATATTAAATACTGATATAGTTGGGTTTTATGTGTAAATCCATTATAACTGACATCTTACTCAAGTAAGAATGTGGACAAAATCGTCAATAAAGCGTATTTTTCCTTTGCATAATATACTACGTTAATAATGCAGTAGGCTGTAGCTAATATAAATAGGGGAAGATAATTCATATAACACGGTCACGTATTATAGATGTGTCTGTTAAAATCACTGTATCCCGCCGATTTCTTTCAACTATGTAACTATCATGTTGTTGATGAGGAATTTTGAAATATTAGTAAGACGGCAGTTTTTCTGTTATGTTTTGGAGGCATTCTGCTTTAAATTTTTAATTGTTGCTTTAAACAATATTAAAAGTATGCCAAGTGTGACTGCCGCCCCTGGGACCATTAGATGTTATTTAACATTTGATTTGAATAACTTTTTTTTAATGAAATTGAAAACTAAATGTTTTATGCAGTGCTTTGGTGCTATTGTATTTCTAAATGAAAGTATCGTTTCATTGTGTAGTTTTTAATGCCCGGATTTCAGGATGAGAAAGTTACTTCAGATAAGATACGAAAAGTCATAGAAAAGGTTAAAGAAAAAGGTGTTAAGGGGTATGAACAATTTAAGCATCTCTTGGAGCTGGCGCGTCAAGAACATTTGGTGAAATATTTGACAAATCAGGAATCTGTCATACAGAAGGAACTTCAGGATGAGACAGCCAAACAAGAGAGAATCAAGAAACAAATTGGTAAATTGATAGAGAACATCTTTATATACATGCCTGTTTATCCTAATCAATTGTCATTAAATTGAAAAAGTGGCTATCAAGTTTAAAGTAATATTTTGAATATTTAAAAAGACAATTATTGGGAGACAATAATAAAAACGCATTTGTGATAAAAATTGAAGACCCGTTATATCTGTTGCTATTGATGCTAGCTAATGACATTTCTATATGTGTAGGCTATATAAGCATTTAAATACATACACTTCAAAACAACAAGAACCCCCCCCCCCCAGAAAATGTAAATTAATTTACCTTTAATTTGTATCAGCATCCATATTTAGAACATGGCAGAATAATAAAATATTGAACCTGACAGACATGTTAATCACAATGACGTGATCTGCATAGCCAAGGTCACACCATGTAACCATGCATAATGTATGAATGTCCGCTCTCTATTCTTAAACCACATGGAAACCACATGGAAAGAAATAAAAACTTTTAGTAGAAATACTAATAGCATTGGGACAATGTGCAAGAAAAACAGGTTTTGGCTTCAATACTAAAACTTAGACATTTGGAGTGTAGCATTGCCTGGTGAAATTCTACATCATGCCCCTTGGATTAGCATTTGCCTTGCCCTTAGGATCATTTACTTAATAGAGACTTAAATAGGAAAATACATAAAAATAATCTTGTGTAAAAACTAAAATGGTCAAAGCATATATATCTTGTATATATCATTACCAACTGTAACAAAAATAGCTCTGTCTGGAATGGGGGAAGATCATGTACATGCATTTATTCTACGCAAACTGAGGGCCTCTCTGTCTGGTAAGCCACTAAATCGAGTACAGACCCTGGGTATGTCATTGTCATACCCTAAAAGGATAAATTGTGATGCACCTATTTTTATTATGCCCCCGCCATAAAATGACTGGGGCTTGCTCAGCAAAACAATATAATTGGAAAAAACCTAAGATTGTATTAAATGCCCTTTCAAATTTGGTCTTCTGCAAATGCTTACGTATCTTGTATTTTCATTGTATTGGTTTTACATGTGTTAAGCTAAAACTTTCAATCTCTTAACTATATAGTAGATATTATGCAATTGGTAAAACGACTGCAATCATTTATCCCTATTTAGTTTGTATATCACATCTTCATTCCAAATGATTTACAAAATACAGAAATAAAATTAATTTAAAAATGGATCAGGTTCTTTTTCAGCTGCTCTAGGGAGAAGAGCCGCCACAAATGAGGACTTAAATTACATTTCACAGTGTATTGGTTCAAACTGGGAAATACTAGGACCACCTCTTCTCAAGAATAAATCAACGGTTACAATAGAACATATAAAGGAGGATCACAGATCATGTCAACAACGTGTGTATAAATTACTTCTAATGTGGCGCCAACAGACTGATGACCAGTCACTGGCTCATTTGTTTCATTTGATGTATAAAGCGGGTACATCTGTCACTATTGATTGGAATGAAATTGCACACAAACTCAAGATTGAAAGAAGGGATATTCATGCATGTAAGTTCGGTGTTAAGTTTTCAAAAATATTTTTTTAGATGTCAACTTGCTTTTACTTTTTTATGTCACCGTAGCAGCTACGACATGGAACATTGTCTGGGGGACATGTATAAAGATGCCCTGCCGAAGGAGACACAGTGGCCTCCTTTCTGATCTTTTGATGTAGAAAAATCTGGAAAAAGTGTTATCCTACAGAAGCATTAATGACAATAAAATAACTTGAAAATTGCATGAAACTCCGGCCATGTGCTCAGTTTGAAATGTAAATGGAATTTTATACATGAAATAAGCATGAAATTCCGACCATGAATTGAATTAAAATTCAGCTGATTCTAGATTTTGACTAAGTGACCATCATTTTTGTCCTTTGATGTACAACCATGAAATTTGTGCACTGTTTAAGATGTAAAAATGACCTTGGTATCAGTTTACCTAGATTGTGATGAAGTGACCTCTTTTGTGATTACAATTCGATCATCGTCCGTTTGTCCGTAAACTTTTACTTGAAACAACATCTCCTCATAAACCACTAAATCAGTTTCGCCCTAACTTCACAGGAATGCTCCTTTGGGGTCACATTTATGAATTGTTCAAAGAATTCAATTCCATGCAGAACTCTGGTTGCCATGGTAACCGAAAGAAAAACATTCTTTTAAATAACCAAAAAGGCTAGAGCTTAAAATATTTTGCACGAATTATCTTCTAGTTAGTGTCTACCAAGTTTGTTCAAATGAAAGCCTCACTGTCAAAATTGCCCCCAGGGGGGGGGGGGGGTCATTAATTTTCTTCATATGTATATAGTAAAAACTTAAAAAATCTTCTTTTAAGAAACCCAAATCTAAGATATTAAGCATGAAACATCTTGTAGTGAATGTTAACAGAGTTTGTTTAAATTAAAGCCCTGGAGCCAGAATTGGCCCCATTGGGGGGTCATTGGTTTTCCTTCTATATTATTGTAAAAACTTAAAACATCTTCTATTAAAAAACAAAAATCGCCAGAGCTTAAATATTTAAGATGAAATATCTTCTAGTAAATGTCTACCAAGATTGTTTAAAAAAAAATCCTGGGGGTCAAAATTGGCCCCGCCCAGGGGGCATTTATTTTTCTTATATGTTTACAGAAAAAAAAATCTTCTGGTAGAAAACCCAAAATTAGCTTCAGCTTAGAAATTAAGCATGAAACATTTTCGAGTGGATGATTACCAAGTGTGTTCAAACAAAAGCCCCGGACAGTCATTGGTTTTTCTTGTATGTATAGAGTTCAAGCTTAAAAAAAATTCTTTTGAAAAGCCCAAAGCGCTAGAGCTTAGATATTAAGCATGAACAATCGTCTAATGTATGTCTATCAAGTCTGTTCAAATAAAAACCCTGGGATCAAAATTAGCCCCGTCCCAGGAGTATATTGATTTTCCTTATATGTATATTGTAAAAACTTAAAAATCTTCTTTCAGATAACCAACATAGCTAGAGCTAAGATATTATGCATGAAACATCTTCCAGTGAGCGTCTACCAAGTTTGTTCAAATAAAAGCCCTGGCATTTTGGAATTGTTGTTTTCCCTGAGCAAAAGCAACCAATAATGTTTAGCACATGTACTATTTTAGATTCAAATATGAACTTTGTGATATCAGTTTAAGATTGATATTTTATATCTTCTTTTTGTTTATAGTGTACAAAATTACTTGTTCATTGTCATGGAGAATTTCTATATTCATATGAGCGATTTCAGGGCCATCGTGGCCCTCTTGTTTATATACAGCTTTCACATTTTAACAGTGTGCCACATTACAGGTGTAAAACTGAAATTTGATATTAAATGACCATGATATTAATCTAGTGATCTACTTCCTTGTGTTTGACGTACAGCTATGAAATTAGGACCATGCATAAACTATAATTAGAAAAATATATTTTGCGTGAAGTATGGTATAGTGACCGACATTGTTCAAATAAACACTAGCTTCCACTGCTTTCCTACAAATAACTGTCTGTCTCCCGGTGAGCTCTTTTGGGTCAATGCCCCATTTTTAGCTCATCTGTCACAAAGTGACAGGGTGAGCTTTCTTGATCGCTTTTCGTCCGGCGTCCGTCCGTCGTCCGTCCGTAAACTTTTACTTTAAATGACATCTCCTCATAAACCACTAAGCCAATTTTATCCAAACTTCACAGGAATGTTCCTTTGGTGGTCACCTTTAAAAATTGTTCAAAGAATTTAATTCCATGCAGAACTCTGGTTGCCATGGCAACCGAAAGAAAAAACTTTAAATATCTTCTTTTAAAATACCGTAAGAGCTAGAGCTGAGATATTTGGCTTGAAACATCTTCTAGTGAGTGTCTACCAAGTTTGTTCAAATAAAAGCCCTGGGGTCAAAATTGGCCCCGCCCCAGGGGGGGTCATTTATTTTCCCTATATGCATATAGTAAAAACTTAAAAAATCTTCTTTTAAAGAACCCAAAGAGCTAGAGCTAAGATATTTGGTATGAAACATCTTCTTATGAGTGTCTATGAAGTTTGTTAAAAAAAAGCCCCGGGGTCAAAATTGGCCCCGCCCCAGGGGGTCATTGATTTTCCCTATATGCATATAGTAAAAACTTTAAATATCTTATTTTAAAGAACTCAAAGAGCTAGAGCTAAGATATTTAGCATGAAACATGTTCTAATGGGTGTCTACCAAGTATGTTCAAATAAAAGCCCTGGGGTCAAAATTGGCCCCGCCCCGGGGGGTCATTGATTTTCCTTATATGTGTATAGCAAAAACTTAAAAATCTTCTTTGAAAAAACCATGAGAGCTAGAGCTAAGATATTTGACATGAAACATCTTCTAGTGAGTGTCTATCAAGTTTGTTCAAATAAAAGCCCTGGGATGAAAATTGGCCCCGCCCCAGGGGGTCATTGATTTTCCCTATATGCATATAGTAAAAACTTAAAAATCTTCTTTTAAAGAACCCAAAGAGCTAGAGCTAAGATATTCAGCATGAAACTTCTTCTAATGAGTGTCTACCAAGTTTGTTCAAATAAAAGCCCTGGGGTCAAAATTGGCCCCGCCCCAGGGGGTCATTGATTTTCTCTATATGCATATAGTAAAAACTTAAACATCTTATTTTAAAGAACTCAAAGAGCTAGAGCTAAGATATTTAGCATGAAACAAGTTCTAATGGGTGTCTACCAAGTGTTCAAATAAAAGCCCTGGGGTCAAAATTGGCCCCGCCCCGGGGGGTCATTGATTTTCCTTATCTGTACTGTATGTGTATAGCAAAAACTTAAAAATCTTCTTTGAAAAACCCAAATAGCTAGAGTTAAGATATTAAGCATGAAACATCTTCTAGTAAGTGTCTACAAAGTTTGTTCAAACAAAAGCCCTGGGGTCAAAACTGGCCCCGCCCCAGGGGTGTCATTTATTAACTATATGTGTATAGTAAAAACTTAAAAAATCTTTTTTTAAGAAACCCAATGAGCTAGAGCTTAGCTTGAAACATCTTCTTGTGGGTGTCTACCAAGTTTGTTCAAATAAAAGCCCTTGGGGTAAAATTGGCCCTGCTGGGGGGCAGGGTGGGGCGCTATATACAGGTGAGCGACTTCAGGGCCATCATGGCCCTCTTGTTTACATACAGGTATATTTGGACCATGTCTACAGTTTAAGATTAAACATATATGTAGACAAATGCTATAATAGTTCATTTATATTTTGACCTAGTGACCTTCTGAATTCTGTAAATTCTACTGCGTTATCACAGTTTCATTGATTAGCAACTAAAAATGTAATATTGTTACTGTTTGATGTTGCTAATGTATAATTTACAGTGTGAACTCAACTGTAGGATTTTTTTCACAATTGAAATCTTGTATTTATTTATCATCTGGAGGCCAGTGAATTGAAAGGATTTACTTCAAACTATAATATCATAATAATATGACAACGTTTATAAATTTAATATCCATATTTCCAGAATTATCCCCACTTTAATTTAAAATATTCCTCTTTTATTCTACATTTTCTATATTAGCTTACCAGAACCGAAGGTTAAGGGTTATTTGTATCAAAAGGGGATGCTCAAGCGTCAATAGTCCGTCATCATATGTCAACATACAGTTTCCCTAAAACTGCTGGGCACATTTACTTCAAACTTGGTCTGTAGCATCCTTGTGACAGTCAGACTTCAATTTGCTCATATCATTTCAATTGGCCCCTTTTCGGTGTCATCAGAGCTTAAAATAGAAAAAAAGCTTTAAACATCTTCCTCTACTGCTGAACTAATTGATGGATGATCACAAAACTTTGTCTGTAGCAATCCTACGTAGTCTTTTATCAAATTTGCTGATAATAATTGGCCGCTAAAGAGCTAAAATAAAAAATAAAAACTTTAAACATCTCCTACTGAATGAATTGATGGATGAGCAGTTGGTATCCAGCTAGCTGACCTCTCCTGTCATATAACATGACTGTGTTTCATTCCTAATTATAGAATGATAATTCATTTTTTAGGTAAAGAATATCAACACCAAGTACAAGAAACAAAGCAGCAGCAAGATTCAGGTAATACAATATACTTTGTTCAATACTTTACACGCTTTATTTTTAGCTCACCTGTCATAAAGTGACATGGTAAGCTTTTTGTGATCACTTTTCGTCCCGCGTCCGTCTGTCGTCCGTCCGTAAACTTTTACTTGAAACGACATCTCCTCATAAACTGCTTAGCCAATTTCATCAAAACTTCACAGGCATGTTCCGTAGGTACTCAACTTTAAAAATAGTTCAAAGAATTTAATTCCAAGCAGAACTCTGGTTGCCATGGCAACCGAAAGAAAAAACTTAAAATATCTTCTTTTGGAAAACCGAAAGAGCTAGAGCTAAAATATTTGGCATGAAACATCATCTAGGCGACGTCTACAAAGTTTGTTCAAATAAATACCCTGGGGTCAAAATTGACCCGCCCCGTTAGGTCATAGATTTTCCTTATTTGTATATAGTAAAACCCAAAAAACTTCTTGTTAAAAACACAAATAGCTAGAGCTTAGATATTAAGCATGAAACATCTTCTAGTGGATGTCTACCAAGTTTTTTTGTTTTAAAAAAAGCCCTGGGGTAGAAATTGGCCTCGTGCTAGGGGGGTCATTGATTTTCCTTATTTGTATATAGTAAAAACTTAACAATGTTGTTTTAAAAAAACCAAAATAGCTAGAGCTTAGATTTAAGCATGAAACATGTTCTAGTAGGTGTCTACCTAGTTTGTTCAAATAAAAGCCCTGTGGTTACAATTGGCCCCTCCCAAGGGGGGTAATTGTTTTTTCCTATATGTATATAGTAAAAACTTTAAAAAAATATTCGTATAAAAACCCCAAAGAGCTAGAGCTTAGATATTTATCATGAAACATCTTCTAATGGGTATCTACCGAGTTTGTTTAGATAAAAGCCCCTGGTTTAAAATTGGCTTTGGCCCTGAGGCTTATATACAGGTGAGCGATTTCAAGGCCATCATGGCCCTTTTGTTTATAAATCTTTGTAGATATTATAAAATTATATATATGTATATAAAAATTTTGCGGATACTTTAATAAATTATATCATAGATCGGTCCTTGAAGTACTTCTTCATATGACATAAAATAATAATTGTTTGTATATGCTTATATTTTCGTAAAGGTGTGAAAAGGAATTTTCTTTTTATTAAGCGAATGTACTTGTCTGTTTTTTTTTAACCTAACTCGGTCATGACATACTCGTGAAATGATAAACCAACTAGTACAAACAGAAAAGGACAAAACCGTAAAAAATCAAAAATTACAAATGAAAAAAAAAATGTTTGTGCATGAAATAAATGTTGTTTTTTCAATAGTAGTCTCACTACTCTGTTTGAAAAATAAACAAATTTGAAATAAGATAATGCTTATTGAATTCACTTAATAATTGTGTGTTTTGATGTCCCGATAGAAAACATTTATATGAAAATAAACAATGTTAATTTTTTAGGTCAAGAATATCAAAGGCAAGTACATGCACAAGAAACAAAGCAGCAGGAAGATTCAGGTAATAAAATAATACTTTGTTCAAGCTTTATACATTAAAACTTATTCACTGAATGATAATCCATTAATGTTTAAATGATGCTGCTTTTTTGTCTAAATCTAATAAAACCTGTGCATACTATGACATGTTTAATTCTAGCTTAGTGACATTATTTCATAAACACTGCAATAACTGAACATGCAAATTCGTGTTCTTAACACCTTGAAATGAAATTTAAATGTATTAAAACTATTGTTCAAGAATGATGTTGATGTGAACAGGAGACAACACTATAACATTGTGAGTGTTAGAATGTGGACTTGGAAGCTACTAATGGTTTTCATTACAACACATTCAAAACAGAATTTTGCAAATACACAATACAAAATTATACCTTTTACAACCGCTTATATTTTAAATCAAAGCATTGCATAAAAATAAAATGTCAGACAAAATATTTTGTTGACATTTGAGCAAATACTGTCAATTTATTATTATACTTTGATTTAAAATATCAGCCGTTGTAAAAGGAATGTTTTTGTATTGTGTATCGAAATTGCTAAACTAGTTTGTTGACATTGATTTTCAACGTGTTTAATTAGATAAAATGTGTATCGAGTGTGCAAACGGCGTTGCATTCCTTGTGTTTATTTATAGTATATAGGGGTACATTTCCCGTTATTTTTTAATGATTTGCTTATATTTTTCAAGGCTGAAATTATTGAAACATGTGACACTTGTCGGCATAAAGTGTCGCATCTGATAGTGTTCTTTTGTTAAAATGGAACAAAGGCCTTTTTAAAATCCCTTTACCCCTTATAATACTATAATAAAAAAGTCTCCTTGTACTTTTACTTGTCAATTTTACCACCTGTCCTCTCTTTTGTATTTTTTATGCTTGATATTAATGAAAAAGTTTTCACAGATTTTCTCATAATATTATACTTTAAGCAGACTTTCATCCACTTCATTTGTAGATTCAAAAAAGTCTCCAAAAGATTCTTGTATATTTGATGGTCGATTGATACTTCTTGATAGCAACCAGATAAATGCTTTGGAAGCTTCATTAGATAAAAAGCCGATAGGACAAGGTGGAATTGGTATAGTGTATCGTTGCAGTAAGTATATTTATTTTTTACTTAAGAGCTTTTGCTGCATTCATATTCATTTTTTGATGATCTTGACTTCATATAATCTACATACAAAATTGCTGAATAACTTTACTTGTTTTAAGCTCGATGATTTTTCTTTAAATAAGAAAAAAAAAGATCTCCAAGTAGACCACATTTACATTGACCTTAATCATAATGACCTTGGCATTCAAGTTCAAATGTCTAAATTTTGCTGACTTGCTATAAGCGGCTATAACTCCATTTTTCATATTATGTTATACCCCCTGGCGTCCGACCGTCCGTTTTTCCGTTCGTCCGTCTGTCCGTCCGTTTGTTAGCAATTTGGTTTCCGGAGCATAACTTAAGTTCCATTTGGCTCACAATATTCAAACTTCATAGGATGATTGTCCATATTGGGTGGAAAACCCCTCTTGATTTTTAGGTCACAAGGTCAAATGTCAAGGTCACTATGACCTTAAAACTGAAAACAGTTTCCGGAGCATAATTTAAGTCCCATTTGGCCCACAGTGTTCAAACTTCATAGGTTGATGGTCCATATTGGGTAGAAGACCCCTATTGTTTTTGGGGTCACAAGGTCAAAGGTCAAGGTCACTATGACCTTAAAACTGAAAACTCTTTCCGGAGCATAACTTAAATCCCATTTGCCCCACAGTGTTCAAACTTCATAGAATGATTGTCCATATTGGGTAGAAGACACCTATTGATTTTGGGGTCACAAAGTCAAAGGTCACTATAACATTTAAATTGAAAACAGTTTCCAGAGCACAACTTAAGTTCCATTTGGCCCACAGTGTTCAATCTTCATAGGATGATTGTCCATATTGGGTAGAAGACCCCTATTGATTTGAGGTCACAAGGTCAAAGGTCAAGGTCACTATTATGTTAAAACTGAAAACAGTTTCCGGACCATAACTTAAGTTCCATTTGGCCCACAGTGTTCAATCTTCATAGGATGATTGTCCATATTGAATAGAAGACCCTAATTGATTTTGGGGTCAAAAGGTCAAAGGTCAAGGTCACTATAACGTTGATATTGAAAACAGTTTCTTGAGCATAACTTAAGTTATATTTGGCCCACAATATTCAAACTTTATAGGATGATTGTCTATATTGGGCAGAAGACCCCTCTTGATTTTGGGGTCACAAGGCCAAAGGTCAAGGTCACTATTACTTTGATATTGAAAACAGTTTCTTGAGCATAACTTAAGTTCCATTAGGCCCTCAATATCTAAATTTCATATGATGATTGTCCATATTAGGTCGAAGACCCTTATTGATTTTTGGGTCACAAGGTCAAAGGTCAAGGTCACTATTACCTTAAAACTGAAAACAGTTTCGGGGGCAGAACTGAAGATCCATTTAAACCACAATATTCAAACTTCATAGGAGGATTGTTATTTGAAGGATGTAATACTTTATTTAATTCCAATGTCTTACAAATGCTTTATCTTTACTTAAAAAAGCACTTTCGGGCATATAATGCTCCGCCTAGCGGTGCTCTTGTTAATAGATTGTTTTATACTTGAACATAATAATCTTTAAGGATTGACCTTAAAGCTAACATGACAGACCTTGACCTTCACTCATCATTGTTATTAATTAATGGATTTACTTCATACTTTGACAAAACAACCTTCCGGACAAGACCTTCTATAAGGTTTAATTGACCTTCAATTTGAACTTTAAATAACCTTGACCGTCAAGAAGAGTTATTGAATTTTTATTAGATTGTCATAATATTGTTTAGTCTACTGATATGATTTATATATATATGGACAAAACAAAACTTATTCTACCCAAACTTTTGGAATAAATTAGATGTAACTTTGCTTAAAGAGAAAGACAAGGTTAGAATTAAAACTTGATTTCAGAAAAAGAATACTATAAATAATAAATCTGCAATTTTTCTGCCGCCAAATAATACTATTAAACGGATGATAACAAAATTTAAATCGCTAAATCACCGATTTCTACAAATCAGTAAGCGCGGCCATGTTTGTGTATTGGCCGTATAAAAACAGGTGCGCGTGATGTCATTTCCCCACATCTTTAGATTTATGATAAATCTAATTGAATCGTAGTGAAATATTAATATAATAAAGTATTGACAAGACAATTTAATTTTCACAGGAGGTGTAGAGGAGATTTTTTTATGGTTCAAAATACGTAACAATATCCAAAAAATAATAAAATTAAAGAAAAAAAAAATCAACGTCTACCGGTCGCACCACTTCAGGCCAGTGATGCCCGTTACTCTAAACAGTGCTATGTTCATTAAAGTCTCATTTTAATGTAATTAAACAATATTTCAGAGATTTAATAAATACACATGTTATTATTTAACAAAGTTTCACAATCAAATAATGCAATTAAATAAACAAACGCACCAACGAATAATTGGCTGTTAATTATTGAACAGCGATAATTATCATTATTATAAAAATCCTACTAAAACGTGTTCTTAATAGTACATGTAATTAAATTTTTGCAGTTTGATTCTGACTTTCAAATTAAAAGGTGTGTTGATGTAGACATTTCAAAAATATAAGCAATTCTTTTGAAAAGTAAATTGTTAACATGTCTGTCCACGTATGAAGCTGCGCTTAATATTAACTGCAGGCAAAACATTTTTATTGGCTGCTCAAAAATCTAATTAGCATAATTTATTCAAACAATTTCTTGTTCTTACTACTTATGTCTAATACTGTGCAATGTCCATTTTAATTGTTCCTAAATTGCACCAAATGTTCCTGTCACACTGTGTACTGACGATTTTTATTGCTCCTTGCATGCCTCTGTGCCGACAGACCTTTTGATCATGCACAATGTTGCCCTGATTGGTTAATCACCCTTGTCAAATATTCTAATGACGAAATAGACATCTATTTTTTTACACTTCATCAGTGAACTGAATGACCTTATGGGAAATTTAGTTCCACACCTGTCAAATTATACTGTAAATTACAGCATGTCATAAAATAGCAACACATTTTATTCAGTTACCAATAATCATTTTAAATATTAAGTAGATTCATGATTTTTTGTTATTGGATTAAATTTACGGTAGTAGAAATGCGTATCTGTGTGGGAAAGGAATTGGGTAAGTAGATAAGGTGGAAAAAAAGCTATAGGGAACTGGATAAACCCGAGAATATGCGTAATTACAGGGGAATGGGCAACCTGTTGCTGCTGGTACCAGTTTTGACTGGGTGCCTAAATAACCTAACGGACAGTTTTGTTTTCATACGATATTAGTCTGGCTGCCGATTTTCCTGCGCCATTCTCAATTTTAGCGTCAATGCTGAAAATCGCGTCCTCAGCAGATCTTTGCATATTGGATTTAGTTGATATTTTACGCTGAAAAAAAAAGATACATGACCGGCGATGTACCCTATTCGGACAGCTTGTCTAGCGAAAATTAAGTACAAAATAAAAGGATATATCGTCGATTTGAAGAAGTTTCTCATAGAACCCAAATTAAATTGATGGTTTATCTTTGAAAATTAAGCAGTCATTGCTTATATCATGTGGTGGGATCATCAGCAAGCTTGAAAATCGGACAAATGGTAATTAATGTCGCGGCGTCTTCAATTAATTAATTAAAGCAATTCAGTTCCATATGATGTTTTCATAAATAATATATAATGTACGCAATAAGATTAATAAGTTCTTCATCAAGATATATTTCAGTTGTACCAGCGTGTACACCTATACCGGAAGTGGGTGTAACACGTCACAATCTCGGTCTCGTCTGTCTCACGAGAATGACAGAACGCCAAAATGGCGGCGCTCATTAATTTATTTCTCAAGTAAAAAATAGTGTCTTAAAACATGAATTTCTCACTTATAGGATTGATGTCAACAGAAAAACTGTCATGGTACCTCTTTTTAAATGATGAATATTTATATTAGACAGACATCAATCCATCCATTCCTATTCCTTTAATAAGTTACTCTCGTTGAAACGTTTTTGAAATAACTTGGCACTATCACCAATATTATGAGATGTTGAGCAGAGCGCAATAATTTGGTTGCTACCCCAAAGGTCAAGGTCACAAATAAAGGTCAAGTGTTAATAGGTCTACATTTCGTGTCTGCTCCATAACTTTTAAATCACTGAAAATGTTTTTGAATTAAGGTGGCCACCATGATAAGTCGGGGTTGCAGAGCGCAATAATTGGTTTGCTATCCCCAAGGTCAAGGTCGTATTTAATGGTCAAGTGTTAAAAAGTTTACAGTGTGTCCTAAAAAGTTTACAGTGTGTCCCCTCCATAACATTTAAACATCTGCAATGTTCTTAAGATTACTTGGCAGAAATGATCACATTATGACATCATGTGCAGAGCAGAACAATCATGTTACTACCCTCAAGGTCAGGGTCAAACGCAAAGGTCCAAAGTTTAAACATCTATTTTTCATGTTTGCTCTTTAACTTATTTTCAATTCAAAGGTTTTGAAATTACTTGGCACAAATGATCTCAACAATGACACAATATACAGATCACAATATCCAGGTTGCTAGCTCAAAGTAACATCCAGCAGCCAATTGTATAAACAATTTAACCGCGCGGTTACCACACGGTTACGGTAACCAGCCCGGTAACATCGTGGTAAGTGATTGTATAAAAAATATCAAAACCAATAACCGCGCTTTAACCAAGGTTAAATCTAACCCAGGTACTGAAGCTTGGTAACCGCACGGTAACCAAAAAAAACATGGCGGACATTTTACGTGTAAGCACAGACAACCCCACAATTCCGACGAATTGACAGATAGGTGACTGATTTGACGGACGAGGAGTTACAGAAAAGATATTGATTTCCTGCCGACAGCATTAAAAAACTTGTCAGACTTCAATGACTGTTGCTTTTAGCTCACCTGTCACAAAGTGACAGGGTGAGCTTTTGTGATCACTTTTCGTCCGGCGTCCGTCCGTCGTCCGTCCGTCCGTCGTCCGTCCGTCGTCCGTCCATAAACTTTTACTTTAAATGACATCTCCTCATAAACCACGCTTTATTTTTAGCTCACCTGTCCTAAAGTGACATGGTGAGCTTTTTGTGATCACTTTTCGTCCCGCGTCCGTCTGTCGTCCGTAAACTTTTACTTGAAACGACATATCCTAATAAACCGCTTAGCCAATTTCATCCAAACTTCACAGGAATGTTCCTTTGGTGGTCAGCTTTTAAAATCGTTCAAAGAATTTAATTCCATGCAGAACTCTGGTTGCCATGGCAACCAAAAGAAAAAACTTTAAATATCTTCTTTTAAAAAACCCAAAGAGCTAGAGCTTAGATATTTGGCATGAAACAGCTTCTAGTGAGTGTCTACCAAGATTGTTCAAATAAAAGCCCTGGGATCAAAATTGGCCCCGCCCCAGGGGGTGATTGATTTTCCCTATATGCATATAGTAAAAACTTAAAAAATCTCCTTTTAAAGAACCCAAAGAGCTAGAGCTTAGATATTTGGCATGAAACATCTTCTAGTGAGTGTCTACCAAGATTGTTCAAATAAAAGCCCTGGGGTCAAAATTGGCCCCGCCCCAGGGGGTGATTGATTTTCCCTATATGCATATAGTAAAAACTTAAAAAATCTCCTTTTAAAGAACCCAAAGAGCTAGAGCTTAGATATTTGGCATGAAACATCTTCTAGTGAGTGTCTACCAAGATTGTTCAAATAAAAGCCATGAGGTCAAAATTGGCCCCGCCCCAGGGGGTCATTGATTTTCCCTATATGCATATAGTAAAAACTTAAAAAATCTTTTTTTAAAGAACCCAAAGAGCTAGAGCTAAGATATTTAGTATGAAACATATTCTAATGAGTGTCTACCAAGTTTATTCAAATAAAAGCCATTGGGTCAAAATTGGTCCCGCCCCAGGGGGTCATTGATTATCCCTATATGCATATAGTAAAAATTTAAAAATCTTCTTTTAAAGAACTCATGGAGCTAGAGCTAAAATATTTAGCATGAAACATGTTCTAATTGGTGTCTACCAAGTTTGTTCAAATAAAAGCCCTGGGGTCAAAATTGCCCCGCCAAGGGGGTCATTGATTTTCCCTATATGTATATAGTAAAAGCTTAAAAAATCTTCTTTTAAAGAACCAAAAGAGCTAGAGCTAAGATATTTAGCATGAAACATGTTCTAATAGGTGTCTACCAAGTTTGTTCAAATAAAAGCCCTGGGGTCAAAATTGGCCCCGCCCAAGGGGGTCATTGATTTTCCCTATATGTATATATAGTAAAAACTTTAAAAAATCTTCTTTTAAAGAACTCAAAGAGCTAGAGCTAAGATATTTAGCATGAAACATGTTCTAATGGGTGTCTACCAAGTTTGTGCAAATAAGAGCCCTGGGGTCAAAATTGGCCCTGCCCCGGGGGTCATTGATTTTCCATATATATGTGTATAGCAAAAACTTAAAAAGTATTCTTTGAAAAAATCTAAATAGCTAGAGTTAAGATATTAAGAATGAAACATCTTATAGTGAGTGTCTACAAAGTTTGTTCAAATAAAAACCCTGGGGTCAAAATTGGCGCTGCCACGGGGATCATTGATTTTCCTTATATGTGTATAGGAAAAACTTAAAAAACATCTTTGAAAAAACCCAAATAGCTAGAGTTAAGATATTAAGCATGAAACATGTTCTAGTAAGTGTCTACAAAGTTTGTTCAAATAAAAGCCCTAGGGTCAAAACTGGCCCCGCCCCAGATGTGTCATTGTTTTTAACTATATGTGTATAGTAAAGCTTGAAAAATCTTCTTTAAAAAACACAATGAGCTACAGCTTATATGTTTAGCATGAAACATCTTCTTATGGGTGTCTACCAAGTTTGTTCAAATAAAAGCCCTTGGTTAAAATTGGCCCTGCCGGGGGTAGGGGAGGGCAGATCATTGTTTTTCATTATAAGTTTGTACATCATGAAACGTCTTCTTATAGGTGTCTTCCAAGTTAGTTCAAATAAAAGCCCTGGGGTTTAAACTGGCCCCGCTCCGGGGGCCTACATACAGGTGAGCGACCTTAGGGCCATCATGGCCCTCTTGTTTTGTTTTTTTTTTGTGGAAAGAAAAATACGACGGAACCAAGCGCTGATACCACGAAAATGTTTAATCATTGTGGATTTAAATACACAAAACGCGGTTTTCATCTGCATAGATGACACACATGTAAAAATACAATCGCAAGAACAACCAGACGAAGCAGCTATTGTTAAAAAAAACTTCAACATAACATTTATTTTCAAGCAGCTTGTGATCACAGTGCATTTCAACAACTGCATAAATAAGATCTATACTGTACTGTATACATGTATTTAGAAAGGTCTTACCTGTCAGTGTCTCTGCAAAAGTTTAGTCTATCTACAGTAGATTTCTACATGTATTAAGAGATTAATACACGGCAGGAGAGGGCCGGAAGGTGATAATCGGCCCGCAAAATGAATAATGGACCCGAGGGCTTTAGCCGGAGGGCCATTATTCATTCAGGGCCGATTATCACCTTCTGGCCCTACTCTGACGTGTATTAATGTCTTTAATACACTTGGTAAGTCTAATAGATCTGGTAGCATTTAAAAAAACACACAAAAAAAAACAACAACAACAAATAGGATCTACTTTGAAGTTCTTTCGTTGAAATTCTTGTCTACTGTACTCTTCTACTGTTCTGTACAGAGATGTTTACTGTTTGTGTGTTCAAAGCAGTAGAATCTAGAAGCAAGTTTTATTTTCCTTTTTTTTTGGAATGAATTTGTCGTATTATTTCTTCAAATTTCAATAGTAACAAATATGTGTTTGTACTAAATACGCTTAAGCTCTCACAATAAAAATAAAGCGATTCGTGCTGACAACCTACTTTCACTTTCACAGTTAACTGTTTGATGACGTAAAATATGACGTCATTGTTTCAGTTTGTGCACGTGCACATGTTCTGCGGGCTGATAACTAGTTCTCGGCCCCGGGCCGCAAACTCATAATAGGTCACGTGACACTCATAATCAGTTGAAATCATAGGCAATTTTGTTACTATATATAGTAACAAGTGTATTAAAGATTTATAATATCCCTCGGATTCACTCCTTTATGACACAAAATCACAAATAAATATAATATCACAAAAAATTATCCACGATCTCTTATTTATATTTATACTTAGTCAATGTATAAACTATCTTGTAAACTTGAATGAAGTTTCTACGTCATAGTGTATACGATGACATCAATAATATTGATTACATCACAGCTTTTTGTATGGAAGACAGGTTTTGCCATAATTATTGTTCAACAAGCACACGATCTCTGCAGTTGTAGAGCATACATACATAATATATATACATGAGATAATATGTATAGATAATTATGTTACTTGTTCAGTAGATCTAGATCTATAGCATATTATTTTTAAATTTTATAGACAACATTTAAAAAATGTGGGCCTACAGTAGTAGTCTACGGCTTAATTGGTTTTGTTTTTGAATTTCCCGCGGTAAACATATATCTTTTCACATTTTATGATAAAATAAATTAGAATTAGATCATTCTTGGTCCATATCATCATTATCTAGCAATAAATGCAGCGAAAGAATTTAATTTATAATATCAAAGTCAAGCATAAGACATATAAAAAAAGCACTATTCAACAAGACAAACGATATCTAAAGTTTGTCCGCGAAAATTACATCACGTCGTGGTGCATCATTGGTAATATTACCATGGTTAAATTTTCAGTTTTGCGTGGTTAGGTTTTTTGTGGTTAATTTGTTTATACAAATGGAATATCCGCGCGGTTACCTAACCACAATATATACTGCAGTAATTAACTTACCGTGGTATATTTTAACCATCGTTTATACAATTGGCTGCTGGTCGCTACTTCCGAGGTCAAGGTTATAGGTTCTCCATAATATTTTGGCTTAAATAACTTGGAATAAATAATCACAATCATGAGGCAACATGTATGTGATATGCATGGCACAACATCAAGGCCATGGTTTGTTAAAGTCAAGAAGTACACATTCATTTCCGATATGTTAAGGATTTAGCCGTCCTTCAAACAGCTTGTGTTGTTTTGTTCTGTTTGGTTGTTTGTTTGAAGCAGAAAAACATATAATTCAGGTAAAATTTCAGATTAGTTGCTGAATTGATTTAAGCACGATTTAGAAAATGAGTGTTGTTCAATCATTGCGGTGTTTCTGTTGCTGTCCACAAAACTTTAACCTTGATCATAGCCTTTTAAGTTCTTAGTGTATTTTCTTCATTTTCTTGGGATGACCTTCAAGCAAGCCAGACTAAACCTGCCCTTCGTTCAAAAATGACCTTGACTTTCAAGGTCAAATGTCTAAATTGTGCTTGATGTTTGCTATAAGATGCTTTAACCTTGTTATTTTCTTATTTGGTTTATTTGCAAGCTGCATTAAAATATATTTTTAGGTTAACCAGACAAGCATTATTGAATTTCTGTTAAGTTTTCATAATTTTGTTATTTATTTAAGGATCAGATTTATATTTTGACAAAACAACGCTTGTGACGTAACAAACATGTTGAATAATTTAGATACGACCTTTACCTTTAAATGGCTTTTACTGCCAAATGATTGAATTCTGCTTATTTTTTAAGAACATTTTCATTCATTTATGAATAATTACTCATACTAAGACATAACAAGAAGCGTGACTTGATTGACATAATGAAATAAATAAAAATAAAAACTTTGTTTAAACCGTTTATATGTTGGCTTTTAGAAAAAGTTAAAAAAAAGTCGTTAGTGGCTCTTGTTGATACGTTCTTTCTGTATTTGTACAGACAGTCCGGATATATTTGGCATTCCTGTGGCTGTGAAGAAGATTAATACAAAGGGTGATTTGAAAATTGAAAATCAAGTCAGAAGGGTAATTTCATTATATTTCTTTAGCATAACTAATAATTTACATGTACAGTTTATGTAATCAACTTCATCAACATTTTGAACCGATATCTATACAGTACAGTTAAGTTAATTTAGTAATGCAACAAGTTTCATGCATTACAGTTTCAGCTGTTTAAGCTAAAGTGTTAATGAAAGTTTTCATAACTTACAAAGCATTTTTGTAACAAGTGACTAAAATAATTAAAAATTTTGAAATATATTGTTGACATAACAGGTTTATTAAAGAATGTTAAAACAGATTATCGAAATTCTTTCATTTTAGGAGAAAATTGCGTGTAGACTGATGAATCCATTTATACTCCCTCTCCTAGCTGTTGTTGAGAAGTCAAATGAGTAAGCTGAAACAGTAATGTTTAGAATTTGTTTATTGTTTGACAAGCCTCTGCTCTATCATCGTCTGCCAGTATTGCAATAGGGTTATCTTTATAATATCTGTCCTCACATCTAATATACTGTTCGTCCAGTTTTGTGTCAAGATTTTTACATTTCTTATTTCTGACTTCGGTGCTAAAAAGGATAAAACATGCTCCCCAAACGGAGAGTATTCAGTGGTCATTTTATCCTTAAATCCATCTGTTGGTCCTGGACATAACTCAGAAACTACAAGAAATATCAAGAAAAAACGTTGAAAAAAGCCATGCATAAGAACCTTATCTCTGCCTTACCTTATTTGGAGTGATTAAAGTTAAAGAGGTATCAACATGAAAGTTAGTAGGTAGAAAGACCTGATTAAGTAGACGTGCAGTGCATAAGAACAAGAATTGTTACTTTGCCTTGCCTTAATATGAATTATTGCTCTTTCATTTTTACACTTTTAACTTTGTTCCGGACATAACTCCGAAACAAAGAGCAGTTTCAACAAGAAACGTAAGAGGAAAAAGATGTCATTGAGTGGAAATGAAGTGCAATAAAACAGTACATGTATCTTTACCTTGCCTAATCAAGATATATCAATAAAATGAACAAGATACGAACTCTCTGTGTCTAAACTTAGACTTATTAAGCCGTAGTTAATTGACTGATGTCTCAAAATATTTAGTCGGTAGTATACCTTAGGTAGTCCTCTAATTTAAGGGTCGGACTAGCAGATGACTGTTATAAAAATCAATGTCATTGGTGCTAAAACTTTGCTCTTAAACGTTTTTTTCAAATAATCTTTTTGATGACTTGAATTTGGTATATCAGAGGAGAGAAATACACTCTGTCTACACTTCCCATGTGATATTGACTAAACGTTCAAAGAAGCTTTGTCATCATGTGTCCTAAAGCATTTTGTTGAGATTTTGTGATTCAATCATTTTCTGAAAACACTCATTTTCTACTACAGTTCTGAAGCGATTTTGAATAAACTTTGTAAGAAGCTCTGCAAACGGTTTTATGATTCAAAGAGTTTTGATGGAATTATTGCCGTTTGTTTAAATCAACAACAACAAACACTATTACATTATATAAATTAGTTTCACTTGACATTTACATGTGCATCGCCATCAAGAGCCCTAGCGCATATTGTCAATGTTTAGCAAACCGTTTTGGCAGAATGATGACCCTTTGATTTTAACTCATCTTAGCACAATGAGCTATTTGTGAGCTATTGTCAACCCCCCTACTATCCGTAAATATATATATAGTTTAAACTTAAAAATATTCTTCTCTGAAATTAAAATGGCTTGAGCTAAGATATTTTACATGAAATATTTTCTAGTGGACCTTTATTTAAGCTATTCAAAGTAAGCCTCAAATGTCAGAACAATAGGGTAAAGTACGAATTTATAATCTAAGTGCCATACGTGTTTTACGTTCGAGACTGCGTTGGTCAATGTTTTTTTATCCTTATCAATATTTTCATGATAATTGAAGCTATATATAATTTTTTGATGTTGCTCATTTTCTTTTATTATGATCAACTTAATTTTGTAAAGTCTATACTCTTTTTAAATAACATGGTTTAACCCATTACGCGAAATACACGCCTTTTAACGCCTTTTTCACTTCCCCCTTGTTTTGTTGTCTCAAATGGTGAAAAATACCTTATTTAGGCCCCCAACACTTATTTTTGTTTGAGAAATGTTGTTAAAAAAGTGACCATTTTTTTGGCGCAGCCCCCAAACCAAAAGTTACTTCAGGGGGTTGCCAGAAGGGGGAAGTGCCCCCTTCTGTTTTTGGGGTTTGAAGGGGCGGCAGTCTTCCTCATCGCCAAGAAAATTTTGGACTTGGAGAGGCTAAAAATGACCCAAGATCGATCATAAGGTAACGTGTAACCAACGCTGAAAAGCATTTGACTCTATCTCAATCCATTGAGAAGTTGCAGCACTTTGAAATCTATTTTGATTGAAAAAATCAACTCAAAATAGTGATTTTGCGCAATTTTAAGATGTCCCCTCGTTGCCATGGTGAAAGAAAATTTAAGCCTGAGCATGTTGTTGCAAAGGCAATGATCCAGTCAACATTTGTGCCAAGTTTGATTAGTATTGAAGCAGTTTTTATAGTTTTATAGCAATTTGGACTTGTAACGGAAGACTTATTTTAATGAAAACTGCCATTTTTCACAAAATGCTCATGAAGTAATGGGTGAATGAAAAAAATCAAAAAATCTACAAAACAACAATTTTTCTTCAAATTTATATGATAGGCCATGTTTAAACATGGAAAAACGCGATTTTGGGTAATTTCAAGTATTTTCATCATTTTCTGTTAATGAAAAAAAATCAAAAAATCTACAAAACAATTTCTCTTCAAATTTATATGATAGGCTATGTTTAAACATGTAAAAACGCGATTTTGGGTACTTTCGAGTATTTTCATCATTTTCTGTTAACCCATTACGCGATATACACGCCTTTTAACGCCTTTTTCACACCCTTGTTTTGTTGTCTCAAATGGTGAAATAATGTCTTATTTTGGCCCCCAACACTTGTTTTTGTTTGAGAAATGTTGTTAAAAAAGTGACCACTTTTTCGGCGCGGCCCCCAAACCAAAAGATACATCAGGGGCTTGCCAGAAGGGGAATGTGCCCCCTTCTGTTTTGGGGGTTTAAAGTGGGGCGGCAGTCCCTCTCATCGCCAAGAAAATTTTGGACTTGTGAGAGGCTAAAATGACCCCAGATCGATCATATGGTAACATGTAACCAACGCTGAAAAATATTTGACTCTATCTTAATCCGTTGAGAAGTTGCAGCACTTTGAAATCAATTTTGATGAAAAAATCAATTCAAAATAGTGATTTTTGGCTATTTTGAGATGTCCCCTCGTTGCCATGGTAACAAAAAAATTAAGCATGAGCATGTTGTTGCAAAGGCAATGGTCCAGTTAACATTTGTGCCAAGTTTGATTAGTAATGAAGCAGTTTTTATAGATTTATATCAATTTGAACTTGTAACGGGAGACTTTATAATGAAAACAGACATTTTTCAAAAAATGCTCATGAAGTAATAGGTCCAGAATTCATGTTTAAAATTAATTCGGATTAAAATCAATAAATGTCATTTCAATGCCGTAAAACACACTATAAATCGATTAATTTACAATAAACTGAAAAAAAAAAAGAAAGAGTGGGCCTAAAACAATGTCATCAGTAAGGATCGAACCACAGGCCTCTCAATTATCTGGCATTCACTTAACCGAATGTGCTATTGTGAATTAACGAAAACCTTCACATTAAGCTTGTGTGACTTTCAAACATGACTAATACACTCCACATTAGTTGTCGTAAACTACACGGACCAAACCGAAGTGGGATCGAATATTGAACTAAGAGCTATAATGTAATTGACAGGTCAATAAAATCAGACTATACCAAAGTTTCTTAAAATAGTGCCGAGGTGTCAAAATTTGCCCTGCCGCCTGGTCATAGATTTTCCTATGTACATAAAGTTAACGTTGACCAAGTGACCTACTTTCTTGTCATTTATGTACAGCTATGAAATTTTGATCATGTGCATAGTTTAAGATGTAAAATTGAACTATGACATAATTTGACCTAGATTTTGTGTTTATATGCACAGTTTCAGGCGTGTAATGAAAGTCTGATATTAGATAACCTAAATATAGACCTAGTGCCAAACTTAGTTTTAAATTCACCTGTCACAAACTGGCAAGATGTGGTTTCGTGATCACAATTCGTGCGGCGTTTGTCTGCCTGTAAATTTTTACCGTAAATAAAATCTTCCCATAAACTGCTCGGCAATTTCATTCAAACTTCAACAAAATGTTCCTTTTGGTGTCTACTTAAACAATTGTTGAAAGGATTTAATTCCATTGTTACCATGGAAGCCAAAAGAAAAGTTAAAAAATCTTCTTTAAAAATCCCGAAAGCTAGAGCTTAGATATCATGCACTTAAGGGCAACTGAGGTATCCCTGCACCAGTAAAGCCGAAACGTCTTCACGTAACATATACTATATATCTGTGTGACGCAAAACCAAATCAAACAAACAAGGAAATATTTAGTATGAAACATCTTCTAGTGGGTGTTTGCCAAGTTTGTTGAAATAAAAGCCTTGGGGTCAGAACTGGCTCCGTCCACAGGGGGACATTTATTTTCCGTAAATATAAAAATAACTTCTTTAAAAACAGCCTAAGAGCTAGAGCCTAGATATTCAGTATGAAACTTTTTCTAGTGGGTCTCTACCAAGTCTTTTCAAATAAAAGCATTGGGGCCAAAATTGACCCCGCCCTTGGGGGTCATTGATTTTCGTTTCAGTTTAAGATATTTTATATGTGCTTTTGTTTATAGTTTGCAATATTACTTGTTCCTTGTCATGGCTAGTTATTTTAAGCTCACCAGAACCAAAGGTTCAGAGTGACCTATAAGTATCAAAGAGGGATATTCTGGCGTCCGTCGTCCGGCGTCATGTGTCAACAATCACCTTCTTCTCTGAACTTGTTGGGCAGATTTAACTGAAATTTGATCTGTAGCATCCTTGTGAGAGTATTGTATTAGATTTGCCCATTTAAATTTGATCGGCCTCTTCTAGGGGTCTCTAGAGCTAAAAATAGAAATAAAACTTAAGACATCTTCTTCTACAGAACTTATTGATGGATGATCACCATACTTTGTCTGTAGAATTCTTACGTAGCTTTTTGTGTCGCCTTGAAAAGGTGACATATAGGGATTACTTTTGTCGGCGGTGTCGGCGGCGTCTGTGTCGGCGTCGTTGTCGTTGTCGGCGTCGGCGTCGGCGTCCGCTAAAGCTTGTCCGGAGCATAACTCAGTCACTATAAGTCTGATTGACTTCAAACTTGGTATGCATGCTTCTTTCAATAACCCGAAGTGCAGTGCACAAGGACCGGTACTCTGCAGTTCTTATTTTTTGAGTTATTGCCCTTTGTTAATTGTCATACTTTAATTTTGTCCGGGCCATTTCTCTTCAACTAAAAAAGCTATGGACTTGAAACTTCATAGTGCACAAGAACTGGTACTCTGCATTTCTTACTTTTTGAGTTATTGCCCTTTGTTTATTTTCATACTTAATATTTGTCCAGGCCATTTCTCTGAAAGTATAAAAATTATGGACTTGAAACTTCATAGGATGATAGATTTCATTAAAAAGAAGTGCAGTGCATAAGAACTGATACTCAGCATTTCTTATTTTTGAGTTATTGCCCTTTGTTGCTTTTCTTACTTTATTTTTGTCCTGGTCATTTTTCCTCAAGTATGAAAGCTATGGACTTGAAACATCATAGAATGATAGATCTTATTGATAAGAAGTGCAGTGTACAGAAACTGCTGCTCTGCACTTATTATTTTTTTAGTTATTGCCCTTTGTTATTTTTCATATTTCATTTTTGTCCTGGCCATTTCCCCTAAACTACATTGTTCACAAGGCGACACATCCGACTCGCGGAGTTCTAGTTTATCAAATTTGCTCATATTTTTTTAATTGGCCCTTTAAGGGGCCGCGAAAGCTAAAAATAGATAAACCTTTGAACTTCATCTCCTACTGAAATAATTGACGGATGATCACCAAACTTTGTCTGTAGCATTCTTAGGTAGTGTTTTTTTCAATTTGCTCATATTGATTTGATTGACGCCTTTTAGGGGTCTCTAGAGCTAGAGAAAACACATTTAGACATCTTCTTCTACAGACCTAATTAATGGATGATCACCAAATTGTGTCTGAAGCATTCTTACGCAGGTTTTTATCAAATTTGCTCATATGTATTTGATTGGCCCTTTAAGGGGCCGCTAAAGCTAAAAATAGATAAACCTTTGAACTTCATCTCCTACTGAAATAATTGACGGATGATCACCAAATTTTGTCTGTAGCATTCTTAGGTAGTGTTTTATCAATTTGCTCATATTGATTTGATTGACGCCTTTAAGGGGTCTCTAGAGCTAGAGAAAACACATTTAGACATCTTCTACAGAACTAATTAATGGATGATCACCAAATTGTGTCTGAAGCATTCTTACGCAGGTTTTTATCAAATTTGCTCATATGTATTTGATTGGCCCTTTAAGGGGCCGCTAAAGCTAAAAATAGAAAAACCATTGAACATCATCTCCTACTGAAATAATTGATGGATGGTCACCAAACTTTGTCTGTAGCATTCTTAGGTAGTGTTTTATCAATTTGCTCATATTGATTTGATTGGCACCATTTAGGGGCCGCTAAAGCTAAAAATAGAAAACTTTTAAACATCTGCTTCTACAGAACTAACTGATGGATGATCGCCAAACTTTGTCTGTAGCATTTTTAGGTATTTTTTTTTAAAATTTCACTGAAAAGCAGTTGTTTCTGGTGAGCCACTTAGAGCCAACACGTCCCTCTTGTTCATATACAGTCGAGTGATTTCAGGGCCATCATGGCCCTCTTGTTTTTTTCCTATAACAATTTTGATATTTTGATCTGAAATTGATTTTTGATATCAACTGAGCTAGATAATTTTACCAAGTGACCTGTTGAACTAGGTTGTTTACATACAGATATTAAATTTGGGCCAAGTGTACAGTTCTAGATGAAGTGGCCTATTTTCTTGTCCTTTGATGTACAGAAAAAACATTTTGACCATATGCATAGTTTCAGATGTAGAATTGAACATTATGAAAACAATTCATAGTACATCAAGTGTTACGTAAGCTTCCTATTAAGAAGAGGAAAAACTGATTTTGCCATTTCTTAATTTCTTGTAATTGAACCGGCATCCATGTGTCAATCCGTACAAGGTTAACCTAAAACAGCAAGTTGGCTTTTTATATGCCCGAAAGAATTTCGGGTATATTATGTTATACCCCCTGACGTCCGTCCGTCCGTCTGTCCGTCGGGCTGTCCGTTATCATTTGGTTTCCGGAGCATAACTTTCAGTTAAGTTCAATTTAGCGCACATTTGTGATTTACAAATACGTTCTTGTTTGTTCATAATCATTGAAAGGTAAGTCTGTTTAGCTCTTTTGCAGTGTTATGCTCCCATTTTTACTTTGCAAAACTATCCGGTAATAAGAAATGCGGAGCGTGCTGTTTTGAGACTGCTTTTATCTATAGGAGGGGGATAAGGTAGTAAGTTACTGCCACTTGTCAATCTTTTCATAATCTAGTATAATAAGTTTTTTACACTTAAAGTTTTTGAGCTTGCATCTTAAAATCAAAAAGATATATTTTTATACTTCAACAGTAACATGTTATAATTACTTATTTACTTAAATCATTTTTTCAGTGAATGTTGGTTTATATCTCCTTATTGCGAAAACGGTGACCTCCATGCTGCTATTAAAAGTGGTAAAGATAAAAAGAACAATACAAGCGATATAAACATAAATAACCAAGCTACAAGAGTAAAGATTTTGCTGCAGATTGCGCTAGCGATTCAGTATATTCACACTGAAGTGACAAACGTCAGGTATCTGTTTACTCATTCCTTAATAATACTTCTTTTTGTCGTACTTGATTGTCTTTTAAAGTTTAGATCTATAAATTTTAGTCAATCAAGGTACAATCGAATATTTACAGATACTTTTTTATGTCAGTCAAGTTGTTTATTACATACATTGTGTTTTTGTAAGTTAATTCAATTTTTTAAATAAAATATTTTACTGTATTTGATATTAGAGCTTAGATTTTTATCATGAAATATCTTCTATTGAGTCTCTACCAACTTTGGTCAATTTAAAGCCGTCGGGTCAAATTTGGATCATTGATTTTCCTTATATGTATATATCATAATTTCATAAACTAAAACATTTTCTTTTCAAAAACCCAAAGACCTAGAGCTTAGATATTAAGCATGAAACAACTTCTAGTTGATGTATTCCAAGTTTGTTCAAATAAAAGTCCTGGGGCCACAATCGGCCCTCCAAAGGGGATTATTGTTTTTCTTTATATGTTTATAGTAAAAGCTTGAACAAATCTTCTTAAAAAAGGGCTTAAGCTTAGATATTTAGCATGAAACATCTTCTAGTGTGTGTCTACCAAGTTTAATTTCAATTTGGATCAATAATGTGATTTATGTAAAAAAAGAGACAGCGGCTTTTATCTTTGATCATGACAGAATCACTGCATCTTGTTGGCGGATGAATATCCCCATTTTTTGTACCAAATATATTTATGTTATTACAAGAACGCCTTGGAGGATTTCGTAAAACCCATGTGCACAGTTTCGTTTTTTTCGTCATTACATGCCTATTTTCTTTTCATATTGACATTGCTTGTGTCGTATTAAGGCTACAACAATAACTAAACATTCAAGTATAAGGTTGTTTTTTTACCTTTTACGATCACCCAGGATGGACATTATTCTGTCCTTTTGAGCTCAGTTGGGCACAACATGCTCTTTTTGACCCCTTAATCCGTCGTCGTGCTTTATGCGATGGGCTTTTTTCGTAGTCATGAATTAATTAACAAATGTCATATTAACCACAAAATTTAATAAAACCTCCTTGTCTGTAAGTACAAGGCCACCAAAAGTTAGCGCGGTTGGGCCAATAACTCCCATTTTTATTGATGGTTCCTGAAATATCATTTTATTATATGATTTCCCACACGATCTTGTTGAATAACTATAAGGATTATATTGGCTGTTTTTGTTATCATTATACTCCGAGAATCCTTTCTCAAAATTATATTGATTCAGTTTTGCTAATTTCTTCCAAGAAAATGGTTGACAAATTTGGACTAGACAATTCTTGTTATAGCATGAAGTATATACTAGTATTTAATATTTCATGATCATCTCTAATTTCATGATCCTCTCTATATGGACATAACGGAAGATAATCTTTACCCCCCAGTTAAGCTTTAAGTAATACTTTATACTTTAAAGTAACAAACTGAATTCCTATACTCATTTCAATAAAGCAATTATGTTGTATTCAGGAATGTAGTGATTATCCATAAATTTTAATTTCATTTTATTTTAAAACAGAGGTCCAATTCTTCATAAAGACATTGCATCTCAGAATGTTGTCCTGGATAAATATCTAAATGCACGCCTTATTGATTTTGGACTAGCCCGAGAAAAACAGGACGCATCAACAACCTCCGGAGGAAGAAAATATTATGAGCATCCTGACGTTGGTGATGGTAAAGGTGCCAAAGAATGCTATGATTATTATAGCTTTGGAGTCAGTAAGTTTACAGAATGCTGTTTTTAACGGAATTAGTTACAACAGATTTAAAACAGCTACACGATTATATTATTATAAAGGTCAAATAATGCAACTGTTTGCAAGTAACTTAAATCTAAATTTGCAGTTTGTTCAGGTCGAAATTCCAAACTAATCTAAGCAAAAGCAATGAAATGCTTTTGCAAAGGAAACAAACGAGTTATTTCGTTTTACACTTTGAAACGCTTTAAAATATTTTGTATCAGCAGCAGGAGTTGAATCAATATTTAGAATGCTTAAGTATTAGCTTTATAAACAATTCACAGTTAGTCGAATATAATACCATTTGTTGAAGATTTTTAAATATTGAATCTTTTTATTGTTATTGGGTGAAACTACAATACCCAGAGCTTTAGATACCTCGTGTATAATATTACACTGTTGACTTTAACAAAACTGGTATTAAAAATTAATCATGCATTTAGTGCCAGTATTGGTCCTGTCTCAGGGGCCACATAGTCAACAAAAACTTATTTAAAAAAGGGATTAAAGTCTCAAATTGTGTAAAACTAAAATGCCTAGAGCTTTGTTACTCAGCATTGTGCTGTAGACCTCAACAAAGGTGATATGAATCATGTCCTGTGGGTCAATATTGGGGTTTGCTAATATTGTACAGACTTATTTAGGAAAACTCATATAGGTTTGACGTTGTGTGAAACCTCAATTACTAGTAATTAGAAATTAGACATGAATATGTAGATTTCAAAAAGTTGTTGATCATGATCCTAAGCTCAAATTGGTCCGACCTTTTGTGGCACATTTGCCTTATTAGACTAATGTATAGAAAACACATCTAATCTTTTATTTGAAAACAACAGTGCCAAGAGTAAACACTATTTAGAATGAAGCATTGTCATTAGAGATCTACACATTTATTTATGTATCATGCATAAAATGCCCTCACCTGAGGTCATTTAATATCATAGGATGATTAAAATAAAAGGTTTTTCGGACAAGTTCCATTGATAAAATTGACTCGGTTTTACCCTTTCAGAGAAATTGCACGGTTTCGTGACTGGATCTCATCCGGTATTGAAAGATTATTTTGATAAAGCAAACAATATTTCATTCGAGCGTGGCAGAGTTAGAATATTCATCATTTTATCCAAAAACGAGATGCCAATATCGCCGCCTTGTTCCGGTCAGACCCTTTAAATTTAACTTAGAGTTATGGCCCTTGATTAGTTATGCAATATGCATATAGTGCAATAATCATTTCCACGCTACTTCTCTGCAACTACATGCTGGAATTCAACGATACTTTACGTGAATCTTCAATACCAAGAGAAGATGCGCATATCGTCCCTTGTTCTGGTCAGACCCTTAAACTCTAGAGTTAAACCCTTGATTAGTTATACAGTATGCATATAGAGCATTGATCATTTCCACGCTACTTCCTTGCAACTACTGGCTGGCATTCAAGACTTTTTATGGAACCTTTTAGTTAAAAGAGGAGTTGCGTATATCGTCACCTTGTTCCAATCAGCCCTTCAAAACAGAGTCATGACCATTGATTAGTTATGCAATATGCATATAGAGCAATATTGCTATTTCTTTTTAACTGCTAGATTGATTGCAAGAAGACTATGGGAACCATCAATATGAAAAGGAAACATGAATGCAATGATAAATTTATGTAAATAAAGCCTCCAGTTGTTGTGTTAGTAATAATCCGTGGGGGTATAAATTCAAGAATTCGCTTGTTCTATTTAAGATCATTTTAATTTTCTAAAAAAGAATTAACATTTACATTAAACGATTGTTGGTGAATATATTTAGGTATAGCCCAAAATAATTTACACGTAGAGTATCTGCAAGTTTCATTTTGACAGAAGTGTAAACTTATAAATACATGTGTTTAATTGTCCAATCAGATCTATAATTTTTCTTAAACATTTTACAAAATGTGCGGCCATGATTTACTTTAAACCTTTGAATGCTTCACGCCGCCCTTTATTGCATGCTGATTGTGATAAACCTTTTCTAATGTTTATTAATTATTGTTACAAACATTCTGTCTTCTATATGAGCGTGGAAAGGTTAAAGAACTACTCGGTGTTTTGTATGAATTTATCCGCTTCTTCTTGTAGTGAAACAAAGCATATATGTTGATATGTGATTTAGTATGGACTTTCGAATCGATTTTGCTCAGGAATAATTCCTTCAATTTCAGTTTTATGCACATAAAGGTTTATAGTTTAATGAGACCAAAACCAATTGTGTGAGGATTTACGTACCTAGACAGTGACATTTTAAAACAATTGGTACATCGAATAAATCCATGTAGTGCCTATTTATTGGTTTACATAAATTTACATTGAAAGTGATGTTGTTATGTTAGATAAAAATGTCAGTAATGTTTACTATTTCCAAACATAAACATCACTGGTTGAGCATTTATCCGGCAAATATACTCTGCAAAGAGTCATCGTGATCGACGTCGTTTTCGGTGTTTAATAGTGATTATGTCTGTCGCTCTGGTTCAAACATGTTGAACTAAAAATGAATCTTCATCAGTGATTTTTGCATTAATTTCATCCATTATATTAAAGTAAATGCAAATTAAACGACAAACAATGCGATATATCTTTATTATGATCTATCAGTATTTTGCGTTAGGATATGTGTACGTCACTTCTTGTTTCGAGGTCACATTTGCATAATAATCCAAGGAGCGTCTATACCAGTGCGATATACGGACATTTAGTGGGGGGGGGGGTAAAAGTCTAAAGTAATAACTAGTAATTCTACTAGTAAATTAGAAAAAATGAACTAATTTAAGTTAGAACTATATGATCAGATATCAAAATTGGCATATAAATATAAAAGCCACTGACTTAAAACAATTATTTAAGTGATCCTTGTTAAATAGGTCTGATTCGAAAATTTGTTCATTAATTGTTGATATCTCTCTGAAGTAAACTTCAAGGACTCGAACATTCCCTAAAATTCACCAAGAAGGTTTTACAGAACATTAACAAATGAACGTGATTAATAATAATGTGTAATGTAATAATATTAATAACTATAAATTTCAGATGAAATAACCTTCAGCATAGAAATCAGTATCTAAATAGGATCTAACATGCATGCTTTTTATACTTTGTTTTGTTTAATACTGTATTTTTTTCATATGCCTACAAGTTATTCGAGAAATGTTAACTAGCCTTGGACCTGAAGGGGAGGATAATCATTTCTTGAAGAAAATGGACAAAGATCGGATTGGAAAAAATCTAGACGTAAGTAATGAGTCCAATTTGTAGCCATACAAATGTTTCTCTTAAAATTCATGTTTTTTATTCCAAAAATACTAGTACTTGAAATATCCTTTCGGCATTTATGCTCGTTTTCGTTTACAGATGTAGGGGTGTCTTGTTTAAATTCTGGTTATGTCGACGGGTGGATGGCCCATCAGACTGGCAGTCATAAGCAATTTCACTGCGCGCAATTCCTCCTACATTTCGTGAAGGATTTTGGTTTATTGGCTTATACGGCTTATTGGTTAGTTGTGCGATTGACTTTCTACTTGCATTTCTTAAATTGTCCTGTGTCCTGGTACATATTGTCAGAAATTGTGATTTAGACACTTTTGGTGGAATTATGGCCCTGACTCACACTTCTGTTCTCAACTCCAACTATATTTCTCAATCGATAATGATTTTACTTTCTCAGAACTTTCGTCATCAAGTGTCCTGACGCATATTGCCAGTGTTTTGCGATTCAAAAATTTTTGTTTGAATTATGCCCACTGTTTTATTGAAAAACAGAAACACGATTCTGTTCCTAACTCCTTTTTTCTTTTCTCAAGTTATTTTGGCTCAACATTAACAAAAGCTGTCATCAAGAGTCCTCATTTTGGTGGAGTTGGTTATGTGAAAGTGAAGACTCAATAGTACTCGTATAATAAGAAATATAGGTATATTACGCTCAAATATTCATTATTTGTTGTAGACAGATGTATGGAAATTTAAGGAAATAGGGGAAACCTAAATGAATTGTCCTTTAAATGTTTGGTGGAAAAGCTGTCATCAAGAGTCCTCATTTTGGTGGAGTTGATTATGTGAAAGTGAAGATTCAATAGTACTCGTATAATAAGAAATATAGGTATATTACGCTCAAATATTCATTATTTGTTGCAGACAGATGTATGGAAATTTAAGGAAATAGTGGAAAAACTAAATGAATTGTCCTTTAAATGTTTGGAGGAAAAAACATGGACTATTAAAAACTTCAAAACAGATGTGGTAGATCCATTACGAGTATGTAATATTTTTAATTAGATATATTAAAGGCTTAAAGTCATATGAAAGGCAACTGTTCATGATTCAGCAGCATCGATTGACTTCTCAGAAATTTTTTCTGTATTACAGTTTATATAGAGCTTTAATTTGCTTTTTGTGGTTATTGTAAACATTTCAAAGAATAAGGGTGACATGTTTCATTAATAGGTATACTATATGATAGATGACAAATTCTTTAGATATGAACATTTTATTTCCTGAAGTCGCACTGCCTTAAACGTAGTTTACAATAAATTTCATTTTATAAAGTACTTGGTCCCAATCTATTTATTTTACAATGCAAAAATTTTGAATTTCATAGCTGTGTGGTCATTGTGTTTGTTTTGTGGTCATCATCTCTACGTTTATTTTAGGAAATAATGAAATCTGATTTGGATCGGGAGATATTTGAAAATGATGAGGAGGAAAGTACATGTCATCAATGTATCATCAATCCTATCGGTAATTCGTTATTTATTGAACTAAAGCTAATTGTATAACATGATTGTATGAAAGAATGTATATAATAATGTTTCAAGACTACAATATAACACATCTACAATATCATGTGATTGATACATTTTGTTATCCATAAGATAGTTTCACAATTCTATAGATGTGGATATGCTTACACAAGATTATCATGTAAACGTGACATGTTTCAAGTTTTGATGACATGACCACATGTGTTTTGAAATGTTTTTCTGTAAAATTGCCCTGTTTAGATACAGAACAATACTAGTAAAAAATTAAGTGTAAATTTGGCAAAAAAATGTTGATTAATTTTTTTTGTTTAGAATAATTTGATCAAATTAAATTACAATTGCATCATTGTAAAGTTTTTGTTACATATATAATCCACTTTTACGCAAACACTTAAAACGGTTGGAATTTCAGCTAAATATTCTTCGTTGACTAAAGATAATGACAACTGCAGTAAAAAGATAAGAGTATGTATGGCTTGCGAGAAAAATTGTTTTCTCAACCCAGTAACCTGTTATTGCGGTGCAAAGCTGACATCCATGATAGGTATAATTACATACATATTGCAGTCATATTATACTCATAGATCTATATACCAATGTAACATTGTTCATGAAGGTCATTACTGAACATACACTTGCAGAACGACTGTTTGAATCGCTTTAAATCCACCATTGTGCTTAGTGAATACATTAAGTCCTTACATTTGCTTCCCATTTTACGACTTTAATAATATTTCATAAACTTTTAAAACTGTGAGTGTAATGAACATACATGTATATGCACGTAGGTTATGCTTGCAAATAAATCCGAAGATAGAAGTCAGACTATTGGATCATAGATTTAGGCTTGTCTAACCTCACAAAACATATATTATTTTATAAATCTAACGAATTTCAATTATTTATAGTCTCTTATTATGCTTTGGTGTTGTCGCTTAACAAACACTTTTACTAATTTGATGGTACAATAGTGGCTGAACATGCATAGTTATTTACTTTATTTCTTTTTACTAAGGAAGTAAATGGGGAGCATTACTTGTTGCTGGTGATGATGAAAGTCAGGAGAGGGCAGATGCCATGAAAAATGAAATACTAGAATTAGAGAGAATTGTAACATCTCTTGCTCCACGCATTATTGGTATAAGGTACTCATGAAAAGGAACTATTAAGTATTGATCATTTTAAACTTTTTTTTCGATTTCTTAAATGACATGAAATGTACATTTTTCTATACATTTTACTGTCCACTATCCGTTTGAGGATAACAAAATGTATTACTCGTATACAGTGCTTGGAAATTATTGTTTAATATGTTTTATAACGACACCAATGATATACTTAATGACTTTCTATGATACATAACATTCAGAGATATAAAAGACATGTTATATATATATTTTTTTGAAAATAATTAATTACTTTGAAGTTCTTTTACTGTAGTAAGCATAAAGTGAAAACAGTTGTGCCGGATGATTCAAAAATGGAGCCCGATACGGAAGAATCTCCGACATGGACAGAAATTAAAAAGCATATAGAGAGCTTCAGTAAAGATGAGGATATTGATACATTATTGATATACTTCTCGTGTCATGGTGGACGCTCTGTCGGGGGAAATATGTTTGAGCTTGGAAAAAAATCAGAATATGTATCATTGGATGATTTTCAAAAGGAGCTACAAAAATTGCATAAAATTGACCGACTTATTCTTTTCCTCGATCGATGTTATCCTCCAAAGGTTACATTGACAAATGAGAAATTTGTTCAGATAAACGCATGTAGCAAGGATTTAAAAGCGGTTCTAAACGAAGAAGGCAGCTTGTTTACAAAGTATGTCATTCAAGCATTGAAAGCTAGATCAGAAGAGAGAGAATGTTCCAAGGACTGCAAGCATTGTTATTCATATTGGAACTCGAGAACAGAATACGTCTCTATTTATAGCTTATATAATTACGTTGACAAACACTTAGAGCTAAAGGCACATAGACCAGACTGGAAATTGGAAAGCTTTCGGGATAACATTGCTTTCTTTACAGACGAGGTAGTAAAGATAGAATTTAAAAAAGATGGTTGTAAACCTATCCATCTATCTCTTGGATATCTTAAAAGTATGGACGAGGTCAAACAAAAGATTTTTTTGGCTTTTAAAGGTAATTATTTCATTGATATATTGAAATAAAGAAACATTTATTTAGAAAGTCTTTTGAAAACATAAGGCAAAAAATTGCTTTGAAATTACGGTTATCAGAAAATTTATTGTGGTTAAAGTTTTAAAATCAAGATTTTTGTCCTCTTTTCAAAATAACAATGAGATTTTGTTTGTTAACTTTAATATTTTTTACTTGCACCTGAAACCATTCCTTACACATTTGCAAAATAAATAAACTTATATAAAGATAATTTCTACTTCTTTGGAGATTGTAATTTAGATTTCAGTATGGCATTTGCTTTCAGTTGATAGAAATACGCACGAAGTCAAAATACGAAAAGACACGTTCCGGAATGATCAACAAGCAGACGATGAATGCACAACCTTAGAACAGGTCATGGATGCCTGGGTACAAAGGTTTCCACTTTCGGTTACCTTTCATAAGAAAGAAGGGACATAGAGAAACTATGTCAAAGACGATTGAATGGGAAGAATTATTGAAAAGTAATTATGAATTGAAGTCTATGAATGAATCCGTTAAACAGGATGTAGTTTACAATATAATTGTTACCTTTATGTTTACTTATATTAAGATATAGAAGTTATTATATACATAGAAATCCCCTTATTGAGCACTAATGTTCTATATAATCCAACCTTATAATATTTAAACCACTTCATTCTAGATACAAAGCGACTGTCATAACCCATATGATGATCAAAAGCATAAATTATCCCTTATGTTTTAGGTAACTAATAATCTTACTATATGAAAAGATATTGGTACTTTCAGTAACACAAAGATAAATGTCAATTTGAGCAAGTTTTTCAATGTACAATTCACTCATGCTTAAGTGATTTGGATATTAAAATACAAGTTACATCAATTTATGGCATAAAAATCTAAGCAATTTGTTTTGTATGTAGAAAAGAAATTTTATCATTTGTAAATAATAAATTGTTTTCTTTTTTCTTTTTTTAAAAATAGTGTGGTGGTTTGTCACTTTTAATTACTTTTCCTGTCTCTTTTACAAATTATTTTAATATGAAGATTTTTTCACAATTTACAGTCTGATGCCACATTATCTATGTAGAGTGAAATGCATCTTCTGTTTTCAGTTTTCTGTAAAATTTACTGTTGCAAATGTTGTTATTCAAGAATACTTTTTAGCTCACCAGAGCCGAAGGCTCAGGGTGAGCTTTTAGTATCAAAGGGGGATGCTCCGTCGTCCGTCGTCATGCGTCAACAATCGTCTTCTTCGCTGAAACTACTATGCAGATTTACTTCAAATTTGGTCTGTACATAGCATCCTTGTGACAGTAACACTTGAATTTGCTCATGTCATTCCAACTGGCCCCTTTTAGGGGTCAGCAGAGCTAAAAATGGAAAAAAACCTTTAAACATCTTCTTCTACAGAACTAATGGATGGATGATCACCAAACTTTGTTTGTAGCATTCTTGGGTAGTCTTTTATCAAGTTTGCTCATATTAATTTGATTGGCCCCTTTTAGGGGTCTCTAGGGCTAAAAATAGAAAAAACCTTTAAACATCTTCTTCTACAGAACAAATGGATGGATGATCACAAAACTTTATCTGTAGCATTCTTGCGTAGTCTTTTATCAAGTTTGCTCATATAAATTTGATTGGCCCCTTATAGGGGCCGCTAAAGCTAAAATAGAAAAACCTTTAAACCTCTATTTCTACAGAAGTGATTAATGTATGATCACCAAACTTTGTTTGTAGCAGTCTTAGGTTGTCTTTTATCAAGCTTGCTAATATTATTTTGATTGGCCCCTTTTAGGGGTCTCTAGGGCTAAAAATAGAAAAACTTTTAAACATCTTCTTCTACAGAACTAATTGAGGGATTATCACCAAACCTTGTCTCTAGCATTCTTGGGTGGTGTTTAATTAAGTTTGCTCATATTAATTTGATTGGCCCCTTTTAGGGGCCACTAAAGCTAAAAAATAAAAATACCGTTAAATGTCTCTTCCTAGAGAACTAATCGATGGATGATCACCAAACTTTGTCTGTAGCATTCTTAGGTAGTCTTTTTTCAAGTTTGCTAATATTATTTTGATTGGCCTCTTTTAGGGGTCTCTAGGGCTAAAAACGGAAAAACCTTTAAACATCTTCTCCTACAGAACTAATTGATGGATGATCACCAAACTTTGTCCGTCGCATTCTCGGGTAGTGTTTTATCAAGTTTGCTCATATGAATTTGATTGGCCGCTTTAGGGGTCGCAAAAGCTAAAGATAGAAATACCTTTTAATGTCTATTTCTAGAGGACTAATTGATGGATGATCACCAAAATTTGTCTGTAGCATTCTTAGGTAGTCTTTTATCAAGTTTGCTAATATTATTTTGATTGGCCCCTAAAAGCGCAAAAGCTGAAAATATAAATACCTTTAAATATCTTTTTCTACAAAACTAATATTTAGAAGATCACCAAACTTTGTCTGTAGCATTCTTGGGTAGTGTTTAATCAAGTTTGCTCATATTAATTTAATTAGCCCCTTTTAGGGGTCTCTAGGGCTAAAATAGAAAACTGTTAAATGTCTGTTTCTAGAGAACTAATTGATGGATGATCACAAAACTTTGTTTGTAGCATTCTTGGGTAGTCTTTTATCAAGTTTGCTCATATCAATTTGATTTGCCCCTTTTAGGGGCCGATTAAGCTAAAAATAGAAATACCGTCCTTTAAATGTCTTTTTTACAGAACTAATTGATGGATGATCACCAAACTTTGTCTGAAGCATTGGGTAGTTTCTTATCAAGTTTGCTCATCTTATTTTAATTGGCCCCTTAAAGGGGCCGCTTGAATTAAATATTCATTAAAACATTTTTTACTTCAGAACCAATTGATGGATGATCACCAAACTTTGTCTGTAGCATTCTTGGGTGCTCTTTTAAGAAGTTTGCTTATATTAATTTGATTGGCCCCTTTTAGGGGCCACTAAAGCTAAAAATAGAAAAAGCCTTCGAGCATCATTTCCTACTGAAATAATTGAAAGATGATTACCAAACTTTGTAGCATTCTTATGTAATCTTTCAACAAGTTTGCTTATATTAATTTGATTAAGCACAGAATATTTCTTTTTTTAAATAAAAAAAAAAAAAAAAAAAAAAAAACTACCATTGATTTATCATAATAATTTACATGTGTTATATAATATATGGCTCGTGAATGCAGAGGGGTCAGATTTCAAGAATATTTAGTGTAAAGGTGTGGGGCGTGGCCCTTTCCTCCTGTGGTGATAGTAGTGATGTCATCCTGGGGGTCTGCATGCGCTGTGGGGAGGTATCTGACTCCCTCGGTACTGGACCTTGGTGTAGCAGTACTCATGCTATCCAGGTTCGTTAGGTTCAATATTCCTTTAGTCTGATGTCGCTGTATTCATTCTTTTATCAATCGTTCATATATTTTCTGTTGTAAAGTATGACAACAAAACAATGAAAATCATCAATATGCATTTAAAGTAGCTTTTAATATTTATTTATGAGTTTATGTTAAAAGGCACATTATTTCTTACACATTTATATATTGAAGACAATTTTAATGTATGACAATAATATTGTAAAGTGAGTTTTAAGGATCTTTAAGTTATATTGTATTAATATGTAAAAATAATTCCATAATTTATACTTTTAATTAGTTCATGCAAAATATTTTTAATGTTCATAATCCTGTTCATTTATATTGTTTTAGACATATATGATTGATGTAAAGCGCCTTTGAACATTTTAATGAAAAGGGCGCTATATAAATGTGGTATTTATTATTATTATTATTATTATTAGCCCCGTTAAAGCTAAAGCTTAGATGCCCCAGGTCATTGCAATTCTTAACATTATTTTTTAAACATATTCTATGATCAAATTTAATATTAGAATATATTGACATTCCAACACTGAAAAGCAGTTGTTTCTGGTGAGTGACTCAGAGCCTCATGGCCCTCTTGCCTTTTAACATTTTGTGTGACATCACTATAATTTTTACTAACTGATTGTTCATTTAAATACATTTTAATATTTTTTAGATTATTTATTGCATAGAGGATATCGAATGAGTGTGGTTTAATACTAAATTTATTGAACGAGTTGAATAAAATCACATTATGCGAGCCTCTTACGAGCATAATATTGTTTTATTCAACGAGTTCAATAAATTTAGTATTGAATCTACACGAATATTATATTCTATTTATCACATATTTAAAACAAGAACAGTAAATTGTTAAAATCAGTAATTTTTCAATGACGCGCCCATAGTGTAACGCTAACATTAGCGCACTTTAACGCTATGTTTCTATATAGCGCAAATGACGTCACGTCATAGTGTTAATACACTAGTGAAATATCGTTTTTATTAAATGGCTTTATTACACTCCTTCGCCGCGGTTTATGTGATTAATCTTTTTAACGTGTGATCTGTTATTCTTACCTTAATGAATTTCTACAAAAAACATCATAGACTTGAGGGTTATCTTTACATTTTGTTATAAACTTTATGTATAATTTACATTTAGAAACATTTGTAACAAAGTTTTGATATTATGGAGCTTTTTTATATGCCCAAAAACATTTGCTGTAAATATATATTTTTGTTTGTCGTCTGTTAGCACTTACACGCCCAGTCTGTATCTTTTGAGCCAATATTACTGATGAGGACTTTGCTACCTCGGGTCAATGTCAATGTCACACTGACATATAAGTTTATTTATAACAAAGGGAGATTACAGTGTATGCATTTGTTAATATGTTCCCTTTCTCTGTATATAAACATGTTTTCTCCCTATATTATCAAAAATATATTTCTTTATTAAGATATTGGCAATTAGAATTCTAACAACGTTCTATTATTTTGTATGGAAGTCAAAAATACTACTTGGTTCACATATTTTTACTTTTAAGGGTACACTGTTGGTTAGAAAAACATCTTACATGCTCTAAAACCATTATGTAACGATGTAAAAGTCATAGTTACACTTTGAAAGATTAAGTAACACAGAGAAACTGAGTCATTCAATAAAGATGACACCCAGGTTTAAGTATAACCTTCCAAAAGTTATAATGATATTTGTGTAAGATCAATGTTTATACGTCATGGGTGATGAGAGATATTCCTACAAAATAGTAATGTTTTTTAAAGCGTATTTCCTTCTCGCTATCTATGTGCACACATGTTTGAGTTGTTATTTATGTTTATTGGTTTGTTTTTGCCATTCCTTTTGTATTTATATATCTTAGTATATAAGCATCATATTGTCAGATTTATGAAAGAATAAGTGTACAAATGTACAATATAAAGGATATCTTTATACGCTGAAAGTTGTATTTGTCATTCATATGAATTTATATGATTATTGTCAATGATTGACCGCACGTAAATGTAAACATTTATAAGTAAATATTGAAGTGTCAATTGTATTATCTGTGCAAATGAGTGCACTTGAGTTTGTACACTTTACAAGATAGAAATATAAATCAGCTCACGATATTTTTTGAGGATTTTGTTCTACATTACACTTATGCTTTTGTTATTCGTGTCAACTTATTCAAAGTATGAGTGTATGCACAATAACTTTTGATAGTTGTATCCCACTATTTGCTCGTATGTCAGATAAGTTTGTTGTGTTTTCATGATTTATGTAATGTTTAAGTGTATAATAACTCACGTTTTGAGTTTAAAAGTAAAGTGTTAAGTAACTAACATTTTCAGTTTAAAAGGATGTTTTTACTTTATTTTTAAGCAATTTCTTGAACTTTGTCGTCGAGAATTAATTATATGATTCCAGCCATTTATGTAACAAATCATAGCGAGCTAAAATATACAATAGAAATGATTGTCCTAACAATTTAAGCAATTGCTTTGTTATAGAAAATTAATTGTTTTTATGTAAGAAATGTTAGACTGATGTGTCTAAATTGATTAAATTTATGCTAGATGATTCATGAAGGCACATGTATATCCTTTGACTAGAATAAATTGACTATGAAAGAAACAAACAAAAACAACAGAGGAAAGTTACAAACATTATACTCTGGTTAACATTTACTTTTTCTTGGTGAAGGTATTCAAAATATTTAATTTGAATATGCTTTTATGCCCCAGGCATATTGTAATTGAACCATCCGTCTTTCCGTACAAGGTTAACTTAAACCTTAACCGGATTTAAGTTCTTTCTGTACCAATGGTTTCATAATAGTAACTTATTCTAATCAATACATAGTACATGATCACAGCAAGTATCCATTTAGTTAATGCCCTTTTTAGGACATGGATATTGTTACCCTAAAGTGACAAATTGGATATATCTTAAGTTCTATTTGTACTAAATATAATTTACACACTTGCTTATCAAGTCCACAGAACTCTGTTTAAATGGAGAGGAAGCTATGACGTCATACATCTTTAAACATGTCATCAGCGCTTATCTTTCATACAACATAACATTTTCGTGCAATTGTCCGAGCCCATGTTTTAGACAAGATATGTATGCTGTGATATAATCTAAAATTTGTTTACATTATCAGAAGTGATCAAAAAAGTTGCAAAATGTAAATGAAGCTTTAAGGTCAAGAAAATTTAAGATGTTTATAATTCTCGGTAATGGGTGAAAATGAAACACATTCAGTTACGTAAAATCAGATTTCGGAATAGTTCAACTCCAAGGGTCAATAAATCTCATGCAAGGGATTGTGGATCTGGAAAAGAAATTGTCCTTCTAGAGTTTCTTATCCCTATGTAAAAAGTCTCTTTCAAATTAAAAACATGATATTGGTAAGTTATATAGCTGCGCCAACTATTTTTCCAGTTATTTCCTTTGTATTCACTTTGAAAATAGGGCATGATACAGTTAACCTATTTCAGCAAGTTGCATTCATCTTAACTTTCTCCTTACAACTTATTATTAATGATATATTTCATATTTGGCAGATGAATACCTTTAATGGGTCATGGTCCGCGGTGCTAAAATAGATTTTTACACTTTTGTCCATAAAGCCTTCATTTATTGACAGATGTCTTTCATATTTACTAGGAAGATAATTTGTATGGTCTTTTCCTTTGGACTGAATTAGGGATTAGTAGGGTCAGAAATAGAATTATATACATTTGTTTATAGTGCTTTTATTATTGATGATGTTTTTCATATTTGGAAGGAACATGTGTTTGATGATCGAGTGTTAGAAATCACAGGGTCAAGTCACCTGTGCTAACAGATATTCTTGGTTTTTTTTTTACCAATGTCTCATATTTATAAGGAACATACCTTAGGCGGTCCTTTAATTTGGGTGGATTTTGTAGTCACGGGGTCAAACGTCAAAGTCTTGCATTTATTTAAAATTGATAAATCTTAATTGGGGAGTTGAATGTTTTCAACATCATCATGATTTGATTGTCTCATTTTACGCCTTTTTCAACAGTATTTCAGTCATATAGGCGGGTAGTTTCCTAACCATCGTTCCTGGAGAGTTACACCAGTACTAGACAACCTTCCTCCGCGCTAAACTACCAAAGCATCTCCCGGGGATCGAACCCACGCCAGAGCGGTACCTGGATTAGAAGTCATCGACTCTAACCCCTCGACCACGGAGGCGGTTTTCAACATCATCCAAAAATAATAACCATGACCTGCCAATTAATATTTTACACAATAGCAAAAGGTCCTGACTTTGTCAAGTTATATAACTATGTTTACAATGTTTAGCATTTTTTGTCTATAACTGAGTAAAAACCTTTGACTTAAACTTTTTGAAAATGTGTTTCTGTCGAGCATATGGGCGGGGGCATATGTATTTACGCAATACATTCTTGTTTAATATGAAATGTATGATCAAACTTTGTATTATGCATATAAGAAAACAGTGCCTTTTGACTGTATAATATGATTACATTTTATAATACATTATTATACCCATACTTAAAGTTTGCTATAAATGTGAAATCGGTTTGTCTGGCTGTATTAATACTATGTTTTGTATATCCAGATTTCTGACTTTGTATAATAAAATATTTTCATTATATCTATATTTTCTTTATTAAACCCTGCAATATGATGTGATGAATATTGAAATAACTTTCTCCCGTCCATCCGACCGTCAGTCCCTTGTCTCCATCGATCCTTTACCTTTTTAGCTCACCTGACACAAAGTGACAGGGTGAGCTTTTGTGATCGCTTTTCGTCCAGCGTCTGTCCGTCGTCCGTCTGTAAACTTTTACTTTAAATGACATCTCCTCATAAACCACTAGGCAAATTTCATCCAAACTTCACAGGAATGTTCCTTTGGTGGTCACCTTTAAAAAATGTTCAAAGAATTTAATTCCATGCAGAACTCTGGTTGCCATGGCAACCGAAAGAAAAAACTTTAAATAACTTCTTTTAAAAAACCCTGAGAGCTAGAGCTTAGATATTTGGCATGAAGCATCTTCTAGTGAGTGTCTACCAAGTTTGTTCAAATTAAAGCCCTGGGGTCAAAATTGGCCCCGCCCCAGGGGGTCATTGATTTTCCCTATACACATATAGTAAAAACTTAAAAAACTCTTCTTTTAAAGAACCCAAAGAGCTAGAGCTAAGATATTTACCATGAAACATCTTCTAATGAGTGTCTACCAAGTTTGTTCAAATTAAAGCCCTGGGGTCAAAATTGACCCTGCCCCGGGGGGTTATTGATTTTCCCTATATGCATATTGTAAAAACTTAAAAAAAATCTTCTTTTAAAGAACTCAAAGAGCTAGAGCTAAGAAATTTAGCATGAAACATGTTCTAATGGGTGTCTACCAAGTTTGTTCAAATAAATTCCCTGGGGTCAAAATTGGCCCCGACTGGGGGTCATTGATTTTCCTTATACGTGTATGTTGATAGCAAAAACTTCAAAAATCTTCTATGAAAAAAACCAAATAGCTAGAGTTTAGATATTAAGTATGAAACATCTTCTAGTGAGTGTCTATAAGTTTGTTCAAATAAAAAGCCTTGGGTCAAACTTGGCCCCGCCCCGGGGGTCATTGATTTTCCTTTTATGTGTATAGCAAAAACTTAAAAATCTTCTTTGAAAAAATCCAAATAGCTAGACTTAAGATATTAAGCATGAAACATCTTCTAGTAAGTGTCTACAAAGCTTGTTCAAATAAAAGCCCTGGGGTAAAAACTGGCCCCGCCTCTGGGGTGTCAATGTTTTTAACTATATTTGTATAGTAAAAACATAAAAATCTTCTTTTAAAAACCCCAATGAGCTAGAGCTTATTAGCATGAAACATCTTCTTATGGTTGTCTACCAAGTTTGTTCAAATAAAAGCCATTGGGTTAAAATTGGCCCTGGCGGGGGGGGGCGGGGACTGGTTTTACATTAACATTATATGTGTGTAGTAAAAACTAAACATCATGAAACATCATCTAATGGGTGTCTTCCAAGTTCGTTCAAATAAAAGCCATGGGGTTTAAACTGGCCCCGTTCCGGGGGCCTATATACAGGTGAGCGACCTCAGGGCCATCATGGCCTTCTGGTTTAGGATTTTCTTTGTTCAAATATACATTTCATCAAGGCAATGTGCAGAAACCTTGCCGACTGTGTCGTCTTTTGCTAAGGTTTATCATTGAAAGTCAAGTATCCGGCAATGTAGCTCTGTTCTATTAATCCTGTACCGCTTGATGGATTTTCAGCATTTTGAATCTTAGAAAACTCTAGATAATATTAGAAAAAAATGGAAGAAACAATCTTGACTTTAATAACTTAAAATAAGGATGTAAAATAGAGTATATTTTAAGCAAGTCACGTATACTGTCATACCGTATTTTATGCTTAAGGTAGACCATTGGTAAGACCGACTCCGTGGTGGAGGAGTTAGAGTCGATGACTTCTAATCCAGTTACCTCTCTGGCGTGGGTTCAATCCCCGGGAGATGCTTTGGTATCTTAGCTCGGAGGAAGGTATTCTAGTACTGGTGCAACTTTCCAGGAACGATGGTTAGGAAATCACCCGCCTATATGACTGAAATACTGTTGGGAAAAAGCGTAAAATGAAACAAACAAACAAACATGGGTAATGGGCACTATAAGGAACTTTAAAATTGACAACATAAGACAGTTTAATGTGTTTAAGGTCACCTGTATACAAAATTTAAAGTCTTTTGACGTCGTATTTGTGATATGCAGGCTTCATAAGCCAAGATCCCTTTCAAAATTCCATTTTATTTAGATCCACCCATTGTTTTCTCGTTTAGGGCACATGTATTTTTTTTCCTTGGGGACCATATGTTGCGTTTCATGGAATGGCACTAACGTGTCACATTGAAGGTTCCATGATAACCGCCATATGACCATATCTGCGGATGTTTCAAAATTCTAAATTTTACCAGTTCATGTTAAATGTTGAATTCTGCTTAAGCCGGTGCAAGGGGGCATGGACAATAGTTTGCACTTGACAGTACCATCCATGAACAGACTCAATCAAACCGAGCCTGCAACATTTTCAATTTTGTCGTGATGGGCTTTTTGAGGGATTCTTATTTCTCTCTATTTTGAATAAAATTGACCGTGTCGTTTATGGATATATTTCTGGAGTTAAACTTTACCATTACTTTTTTCAGAATTGAGGAAACTTTTAATAATCTATATATCATAACGAAATATGTTTTTCCTATTTTCCATTGTTAAGAAACAAATAATAACATTCAGGTAACACGAGCAAAATGATTGTTTCTTAACAATTTTTTTTCATCTGTATACATGTTACCCGACCCAGCCCCTTTAAACAATTATTTGACCATTTCCCTTAATAAATATAAAATATTTTTGAAATATCACTGAAATTTACCTTAATGACGGGCTGTTTTCAAAGTTTGCCTTAATTTTCTTAGATCATGCAAAATATTAAATTCTTTTATCGTGTAGTTTTTTGTAAGCTCATTCAGTCATTTCTTTTCATTTATCTAATTATTTATTCATTTATTTTTGAATTTATTGTTTTGTTTTTAATAGTTTTTATTATTAGCCCACTGGTCACCGAAGGTTCAAGGTGAGCTATTAGTATCAAAGAAGGATGCTCTAGTGTCCGTTATCCGTCGTCATGCGTCAACAATGGTCTTCTCTGAAACAGCTGGGCATATCTACTTCAAATTTGGTCTGTAGCATCCTTGTGACATTCACACTTACATTTGCTCATATCATTTCAATTGGCCCCTTTAAGGGGTCAACAGACCTAAACATAAAAAACCCTTTTAACATCTTCAACTACAGAACTAATTGAGGGATTTTCTCCGAACTTTGTCTGTAGCATTCTTTAGTAGTCTTTTATCAAATGTGCTCATATTAATTTGATTGACCCCTTTTAGGGGTCTATAGGAATAGAAAATAGAAAAACCTTTAAACACCTTCTTCTTCAGAACTTATTGACCAAACTTTGTCTGAAGCATTCTTTGGTAGTCTTTTATCAAGTTTGCTGTTATTAATTTGATTGGCCCCTTTTAGTGGCCGATAAAGCTAAAAAAAGAAATACCTTCAAACGTATATTTCTACAGAACTTATCGATGGATGATCAGCAAACTTTGTCTGTAGCATTCTAAGGAAGTCTTTTAACAAGTTTGCTCATATTAATTTGATTAGCCCCTTTTAAGGGCTGCTAAAGCAAAAAAAAATAGAAATACCTTTAAACATCTTCTTCTACAGAACTAATTGATGGATGATCACTAAACTTTTTCTGTAGCATTCTTAAGTAGTCTTTTATCAAGTTTGCTCATATTAATTTGATTTGGCCCCTTTTAGGGGCTGCTAAAGCTAAAAAAAGAAATACCTTTTAATGTCTATTTCTACAGAACTGATTGATGGATGATCACAAAACTTTGTCTGTAGCATCCTTAGGTAGTATTTTACGAAATTTGCTGTTATTAATTTGATAAACCCCTTTTAGGGGTCACTTAAGCTAAAAGTAGAAAAACCTTTGACTGAAATAATTGATAGATGATCACCAAACTTTGTAGCATTCTTAGGTAGTCTTTTATCAAGTTTGCTCATATTTATTTGTTTGGCCCCGTTTAAGCCCAAGCTTAAACGCCCAAGGTCATGGCATTTCTTCAAATTATTGTTTAAACATATTCTATGCTCAAATTCAATATTAAAAAATACTGACAATGGATAATTTCCAATCCTGAAAGGCAGTTGTTTCTGGTGAGCGACCCAGGGCCTTGTTTTATTAAATTTTGAAAATATCTGGTATCATATTTGCTATTATTTGGCATTTGTAAGCAAATAAATACCTATAATAATTATATAATTAAAATCAAGTACTTTTTTCTTCCATAAGGGATCTGAGAGATACATAAATAATGTTAAAAAGAAAAAAAGTTGTTCCTTCTAGAGTTCGAACCAACGCCCCTCAATTTCAATGTAGTTGACAATACTCTTCAAAGTAGAGGTAATGCATTACCCGTAGTCTACCTTAAAATATATAAAGAGAAGGCCTTTATAAGCTCTGCTTTCGGACCCATTCCTTAAATCCAACAATTCGTGTCTTCATTGTGTATATCAATTATTGGTAATAATTGTTTATATACTGTAATGTTTAAACTAAAACAATGATTATCTAAATAAATAAAATGATAAATATATATTATTAAGATCGATAAATCTAAGTAAAAGTACAGAACTTGGTCTAACTGGAAACAATGGCTACTCAGAAGCTTAAAAGTTGAAGTTTCTAGGTATCGGACGATAAATTTATGCGAAGTAATTAAAATATGTTGTAAATAGAAATTAGTTTTTATCTGGGTTTTAATATCCTTTATTCATCATGATAAAATGATAACTACCTACCCTAGAAAAGACAGCCAAAATTATTTTTATTAGCGTGTTGAGCAAACTAGCCGGGCATTCGAAGCAAATATATTGTAAAATCGATGTTTAACTAGATGCTCAGACGGCCGATCAAACTACGAAATTTAACGTCACATGAAAAATAAGACCAACAAGGAATGGTGGCATTTAATGAATGCCTCCCCATGCACGATCCAGCAATATAGGGTCACCGGCAAT